CTGCTATATTCAAAAATCACAGTTTAAATACTACCTTTTTTGTTATAAATCACAGTTAACATATCACCACTTTCTTTATGTATACCACAGTTAATATACCACCCCTTTCATAATACCCATCTGTATAATGTTAACCACAGTTAAACATTTACCTTATCTACCACCTCTTTCTGTATAAAAAGAAAGTTAATATACCCCATGTTTGAAATAAACTATAGTACATACCACCCTTTTTATTTTTTATAAATTAATATACCGGTACACCCCTTTCTTTACAAAAGAAACAATGCAGTAAACACAATATAACCATTTATCAAAAATTATGTAAATCGGACTAAATCACAGTTTATATTTAACATGTAGCTCATGTATACATATTGCCTAGTTAATATTTCTAATTTTCTTTATAAGTTCTATACTCCCCAGTCTATAAAGCCTGGTAATGTAACTATTTATATATATATATATAGGTATGTAATTATCAGGTGATATACCTGGATTAATAATGAAGGTGTGGAGATAATTAAATTATTAATTGATAAAGTCAACATCTGTTGATTTTAGTAATTACTATATTAACTTGTTTAATTGTTTCAGTCTGGTGCTGATTTATATAGTTATGGTTACCTGCTGAGGACTCTATGTTGATTTTTATTAACAATACATGTTTTTACCTGGCCAGTTTACCTGACCAGGTATACATGTATTTTTTTTATCTATATTTGTTTGTTTCTCTCTGTTTATCCATAAACAAGTGTTGCCATTAGTAAATTTGTCATTTTAAAAAATTACATTGTTCAGGGATAGAAACAGAAAATCTGTTTGCTGACAAAGCTAAAAACTCAAGGTGAAAGTACATATGGTAGGGTACAGGTAGAAGCTCTCTCTCGCCCCTCTGGCACCTACCCTCCCTAACACACCTAAATACAACCCCCTTCCCCTCTTTTAAAATCTTTTCTATTAATTATTGTTTTTAGTATAACAGAGTGAAATTACAAAGTATATAAAGATTTTGATTGAGCAATCTTTCTGGAAATCGCGCTACATTCATATAAAACATTTTAACAATAATAATAAACCATCAGAGGATGTCTGTATTTTAGATTTTCTGGGATGCAAAACCCTTGTATTCTGATAATAATAACTCAGTTATCATTAAGCGGCTTGGCAAAGTTATATACCATATACAATAATAATCAGTGACTGTTATTGTATTATCCGTAGGACTATTACCATTATAATAAAACATTTTAACATCATAATAACATATACACACCTCGATTTTAAAGCATTACCATCAAGGTATAAAGTAAATGATATCTCCATTTTTGCTGCTAAGCAACAAGAGGAATCTCAGATATGAGACAAACACGTGGACAAGACACACAACAATACATTGACACAAGTAATCAACGGTATCATACGGCCTGTCATTGAGTCAACTGGCATGGTTTTGAATCCCCGGTTGTACATGACAAGGAGTAGGGTCGCCTGTCCAACCTCGTGGGTTTTCTCCAGGTCCTCAGGTTTCCTCCCACTGCTAAAGACCCAGTTATGCGCCAGCGAATTATTGAAATACATGTAAAATTAAACCATATGTCAGTCCCGAAATGACCTAGTTTGTGTTGGGTGGACATTAAACCCCATTCCTCTCTCTCTCTCTCTGTCTCTCTGTCTCTCTCTCTCCAGTAATCACCAAGTGAGCAGATCTGGCCCAGGACCATGTACATGTATTCAGCATTTAACATTAAATGGAAGAAATGCTCAGAAATCTTGGATTGATTATCAGATTTGGATGTCAGAATGACCGGCTGGCAAATCTTTGAAGTAAGAAACTGAGAATTAAAGTGACCTTAGCTGGTTTATAGACATTTTTAATTTGATGTGATTTGTCTATGCATGTATGATTGTAATAGAGGGGGTTGTACACAGACAGCATGGACAGCTATTGTAGAGATACAGATGTTTTAACTTTCAATTTACGAGAAATGCAACCATTTTTTCCGTGGTTTTCAAGGAGTTTAACAAACACAGGTGGAAAATAAATGTAGGTTATTCCAAAGAGGGCGTGTTTGAAAAACTATTAACCAATAAAAAAGATACCATGAAAGTTGGCTCTAAACAGAAAAGAGTGTAGGAGTGTTGGTGGGGGTTTAACGTCCTACTGTTCTGCTCCTAAACTGGGCTAATGAAGACGGGTATACGCCATACAGTGTGCTATGAGGGAAATTTTGCACGGGCAGCGGTACTATCGCCTACTCTTATATCGAATTCCAACTGCCAAGGGATCTTTTACGTGCATTCCAATGTATACACGGGACCTCAGTTTTTCGTGTCATCCGAAGGACTAGACAGCTGTCCTTGTCAGGCCCTCTGTCCTGCATCAATGACAAGGGGGAACCATGCCGGAAAATCTGGATGAACTTTCTTGGCCAATGCAGGGATCGAACACCCGACCTCCAGGCTAGCGAGCCAGCGTCTTACCACTTATATCTATATCCCTCCCTGAAACTGACCCAAGTTGATATGAAACGCATGATTCAAATTAAAGAACCAAATAACAGCAAAAATTCAGCCATTTCTTTCTATACATGTATTTGGTTGGTGAAAAGTAAAGAGCTTTCCAATTTTTAGAAAAGTCAAAAACCGCTCCCCAAGTTTGCACAAGATAAATAAGGAGAGTGAGCGATTTTAGATACTGGGCTCAATAAAAAAAAACTCTCCTCGACCCAGATTCAGACGCTCAACGACTTAGAATAAACTCACCATCTGTGCAGCAATAAGAAACATTTTTCACAAATTGACACTATCAAAGTATTTATTATTATATATGTAAATACAGTTAAATGGTTGTTAATGTAGTAGAATGATTTGAATGTATGAGAATTACCATCTGACATTAATAATGGAATGTTGAGTACGGGGTATATATACATGCATTTTTATATTGTTGTTCCTTGCATTTATACACATGCCTTTCTATATTGTTGTTCAATGTATTTATACACAAATCTTTCTATATTGTTGTTCAATGTATTCGTACACAAGCCTTTCAGTGACTAATAATTACATAATGCTTTAACTGACACTTGATTTAGAAATGAAATGGGGTTTAACATCCTACTTTTCTGCACCAACTGGGCTAATGTAGATGGGAATACAACATACAGAGTGTGCTATGAGGGAAATTTTGTTATGACCAATTTTTATTTCAGATTTTAACTAAATACACTGGACCATGGTTTTTTTGGCCCATCCGAATCACTAGACACTGTCCTTACCAGTCGATCTGTCCTGCAGAACTGACAGGTGGAAACCGTGCCAGAAAAGCCTACAGCGGGAGTGAACCCGAGTCTTTCTGGTTAACAAGCCAGCGGCAACTGACATTGGTTTTAACATGCACTCAATGTGTGCCATTTGGACACTACAGTAGGCTAAGTCTTTACTATCGTGTGCTGAATGATGTTAATGGAGTGGGGAGGATATCAAAATAGGCTATGTCTGTCCCCTTTTTGATTCCGGAGTATACTGTATATCTCATATTTTTAAACCATTCAATAAAGATAATTTCTATGGAAACAAATTTGCACATTTTTTCGGGGCAGGAAGTTTGAGTGTGGCAGGAAACCAGATTTATGTGGTGGATATGTTTCACCTTGTTATGTCCATATCCATCTCATGTTATTTGTCATTAAACCTAACAGTAGTTTCAGAAATCTTAATCCCATATCACAAATATACATACATGTATGTTTAATGATACTGGATATAGTGAATACAAATGAGCGACTGTCCATAAAACTCAACAGGAGCTAAAGCTTAGTCTTTCATCACTCTGTGTCCTTTATTACAAAATGATTTTCATACATGTAGTATCACTCGTACATTTCATCACTCTACACCCCTTAGTACCTATACATGTTTACATAATGTTTTTCCTTTTACATGTATCAGTTGGTCATACATTTTTGTGGTGTGAGAAAACTGCCTGACTAAGAGGTCTGTATAATGTGGTCTGGTATTAGGTGGGAGTTATTGTATTATAGTCTGTTTAATCACAGTTGTATACACTTTGTGTATTGATGATTGGTGATATATACTGTGTAATGACCGGACCCAGTTAAAATATTACTGATAGATTTTCTTGTAAATACATGACCAGTAATGTATTATTTCTGTATATATAATGTTTTAAGTATTTAACATGTAATTTATTTTCTGTTTATGGTTATATAATTTTATATATATACTGTATAATGAACATTTGATGGACAACATTTAAATATTACTGATAGATTTGAACATAAATATTGAGTGATTAATCATCTCTGTACATATTTAACATACATTATCAGTAATAATATGTAATGTATTATCTGTTTATGATCATATAATGTAATGACTGAACAAGGTTAAAATATTACTGATAGATTTGAACATAAAATCATTGCTGTACAGTTATATATAATGTTTAAAGTATGGTCAAATATTTAACAAATCTGTATAATACATTAAAGATAATACTGTAATAATGCATGTCAGATTCAAATGAACAGAACGAGAAGGAGGGGCTATTATAGCTTTACTAATAAGTATTCAAGGGGAATTAAGTATATGTAATAAGAATGGTGCTGGATTTAGACTTGATGAGGCTTTAAGCTTTAGAAAGCTTGGATGATCCTTGTTGAATCTTTTACACAAGCCATTTTCATAACTACATGTAAAGTACACATGCATTTTTTTAGAAAAAAAAATGAAATTCTGAAAGTTTGTTAGTGCCTGTCAATTGTGAGGCCATAAGCTGTTTGTTTAGGCTACTGTATGCCTGAATCAAACACAGACCATGCATGCATTCATATTGGGAATTTCAAGATCACTACATATTGGTGATCGTCTTAAGGATATTCTTGCCAAGGACTAGGGAATTATTGGCATTAAGGGGCATGTAATCTAAGTCACTGAAACTTAAAAGGGGGTTTAAAGAAAGGGCAGTAACTTACCATTTCATCCAATGATTTGAGATCACAGGTTATTATTTGAGCGGGAGGTTCCCCTGCTAACTCCGCGTCAATTTCTTCTTCCATCTGAACAATGGTCGGCGCCAACATTCCAAGTTTGGCTCCAACTCTCGCTACTTCTAACAAACACAGAATCACACTTTTCTCATTTTTTCTAGTAACTAAATCCTCCGTTTCAAAGCGGAGATCGTCGGGGATACCAAGCAGACGACACCAAGATATGAAATTCGAAATATTGTCGCGGGCCAGAAACGACCCTGGTTTAACATTTTCTTTGTACTGAATTAAATCCTCTGGGATTTTGGTCACAAAATACGACTTCATCACAATTTCTATTCCTTTTTCACGTCGCTCTTTTGTGAAATTTATAACTTCGTTGGCATGGTGACAGAGTAAAATTCCTGTTTCTATGACTTCGAAAAAGATGTCACCATTTATTTCAATTTTATACAAACAAGTAAACCAATCTGCCAGATCTTCTCGCATGGCAAATAAATATTCATCTTTATTATTAAAAGATCGAAATGATTTGGGTTGCAAGACCAGAAGGGTATCAGAACCCGAACCAGTAGCACGTGCACTCACGTCCTCTGATTCCATTTTTCACTGACAGCTGACGTTTTGTGTCAGACCTAACGGAAACACAATTGAACTGCAGCGAGTAGTAGGCTATAATAGAACACACAGAACCGTTATTCCATGTTAAATAATGCTATTTAAAGATGTTAGTAACAACAACACTTTAAACCAATAACTCCAATCTCCTCTTACCATCCATTTCAAAAACACATAATCACTGAATGGCTTCGTCTGTAACTCAGCATTATGTAGCCCTCGTGGTTACGGTTTCAAAACCGTTACAAATCTAAGATCTTACGTATTTCGCCATGGCTAAGTTAAAATCGCCAATATCCCGATATCGTCATGCTCGTTACACATACTACACACCAACTGACAGACGATTGACTAGTCTAACACAGGCTTCACATTACAGTCACGTGGTTTACATTATCAATGAATGTTATTACCTCCCTTTAAAACCGGTGCCGTTATTCCCGTACCATATTTCACGTGCTTTGTAATCCCGTTGAATATATATCAGTTTCCATTGTTGTTGGTCATTTTGATTTAACTGATGAAATAACTTGACAGTTTCTGTTTTAATTTAATTACGGTAACGGATTATTCGAAAATCTCTAGTGATGCGTCACGACATAATTTTTATTCCATTCCTTTCAGCCTTTTTATTGTTGAGGGGGGGGGGGGGGGAGGTTAGCACGTGCGCGCTGTATGACAAGGTCTGTCATTTGGTCAACTGGCGTGGTTTCGGTTCTTAGGTTGTATGCGACAAGGATTGGTCTCACCTGTCCAACCTCGTGGGTCTTCTCCACGTTCTCCCTCCGGTTCCTCCACTGATAAAGACCCCTACGCGCATACGAATTATTGAAATAATATTGAACCATGTGTTAGTCCCGAAATTCTCTCTCTCTCTCTCTCTCTCTCTCTCTCTCTCCGTTTTAAAATTGTTACTCTTTGTTTATGACCGTCTGAGCCACCATCGACAACTGTCAAGTATTGACCAAAAATTTTGACCAAATATTTCTAACATATTTTGGCCGTTTTTATTTATAGCCATTTTCACCACAATCCTATACCGATACCTGCTTTATGTTTCCTTACAATCTAAACAATATTTTATTTTAGTACAATTATAATTCTATGTTGACTTCAATATGCCAGTTTTAGAGACCTTCATAAATAATTCATTTTATTAATAGCCTTAAATTTAAAATGGCTGCTTGTCTTTTTACTTCATAAAATAAATTTTATGTAATTTAGAAAAAAATACCTGTGCATTACATTAGGCCACAAAAAATAACCTGTTTACGGTTACGCAAACGATTCTATTTTCGTTTTCCATACCCCAGATCCTATAAATCGATATTGGTGTGTTTCCTATGCAGATAAATTCCAGCACTAAAATTTCAGTATTTACAACAACATCGACATTATTTTCAAGAACCGTATATTCAGCAATTAGAGATACACTATGGAAGATTAAAATCACTGTAGCCTCGATTGTCATTGTTACCGCTGTCACGATAATTAACAAAGTCTCGATTATTCATTTTTGGGTTTAATCATCAATGGACGTTGAACAGCAGATCGGATTCAAATCCAATGAAAATCGGCCACACAGGATGGCATCGACGGTTGATTATGGTCTTTTCATGTTAATAAAAGATACATTATGGGAGATTAGATAAAAAGCTGACAGTTCTCACTATAATAGTTAGATACTGGATAATGTAAAGGCAATTTGCTGAAAATTCCAGTCAAATTGATCCACTATATGAACCGAGATTTTAGCGATTGAATTTTCGTCCTAGCCTCGATCATCATTACTAAAGTCCGTACAATAAAAAACATAGTCTCGATTATCCATTTCATGATAAAATTATGAATGGAAGCCGAACAGGAAATCGGAATCTAATCCAATAAACATCGCGGGCTATCGATGCCTTCGAGAGTTGATTATGGTCTGGATAAGTTAATTAATGTCTAATTAATAATTTAGATAATATTTCAGGTCTAAAGAAAGGCCTACAATAAGCGGATTTGCCTCTTGCATAATGTATGTTTAATAAATGTCTAATTAATAATTTAGAAAACATTTCAAGCCTAAAGAAAGACCTGCAATAGGCAGATTTACCTCTTGCATAATTCATGTTTAAGCTAGAAATCTAAGGAAATAAATAATAATTTTCTTGTGGCCAAGTAATCGGAAACACGGGTATTATGTTTTGGCCTTATAGGGAGACGGGATGAATTCAATTTCCCAGTAGGCTAAAATACCAACAAACTTACTAAAAATTGCTTTATTGTGTAATTGAAAAGGAAATGTCATTTGGTCAGAAACTGCGATACATTTATTTAATGCGATTATTGTTAGACAATAGATCGCTAATTGATCCATTAAAGGCTTTACACCATGTCGAAGAATTAAAATCAATGAAGTGCTATAAACATATACAACAGCATTATAATAACATTATTTGTATACATTACATAATCTACATAAATAACAATGGGGGATCTGGTTGTAAATCATGAAGAAGGGCTGACATACCCCATGTAGTATGCTAAGAAGGAGAATATTGCCCAGACAGCTACGTTTCCGCCTACTCTTTGTCGAATTCCGGAACCATGGTGGTTAAGTGAGTAAGACGCTGGCTCGCTAGCCTTGAGGTCGCGGGTTCGATCCCGGTGTTCGCCGAGAAAGTTCATCGGATTTTTCCGGCGTGGTTTCCGCTTGTCTAGTCGTTCGGATGGGTATGAAAAACCGAAGTTCCGTTAAACTCCTTTTCATTTCATTTTTGTAGAATTCCAACTACCAATGGCCCTTTTACCTGTACGCCAACGTGTATACACAGGAATTTGGTTTATCGTGCCATCCGAACGACTAGACGCTGTCCCTTACCAGGCCCCAGTCCAGCACCAAGACAGAACCTTAATGATCCCATAACAGTTGGATATCGAAATAAGAGTATAGAAAAAATTTGCCCGATAGAACATTGCGTGGCGGATGACCTTCTTTTACCCGACTGCGTGCAGAAAATATTAAACCATAATTTCATCACATAATCTTAAATCGCAAAGTAGAAAATAGGTAACGCGACAGCTACGATCGTCTGTAAAAATTAAAATAGAAAATGTTTAGCCCTGTTAGGACAGAAAAGTAGGACAATAAACCAATGCCACTCGGCCAGATAATAACTGAATTGATTTCTTTTCGTCTAGGTGAGAGGAAGAGAGAAAAATTGGGTTTAACGTACACTCGACACGAACTATGGGTCAGTTTGGGACTAACATATGGTTCAATTTAATTTGAATCAATCGCTTGCGCGTAGGGATCTTTATCAGTGGGAGGACCCGGAGAAAACCCACGAGGTTGCACAACCGACCCTATTTCTTGTCACGTACAAGCGGGGAATCGAAACTACGCCACTTGACTCAATGACAGGTCTTATGATTCAACGCGCGCGCGTTAACCATTCGACCACTCAACCAAGCATCGTCTAGGTATTAATTAGAAAAATTGAACATGACGATGTTCACAATAACCGGGTGTTACTTCCGATTTGAAACGCAAGCATATACGTCACAACTGTTGTTGGGGAAAAAATTGTTTAGTTCAAAGATCACTTTGTACAGATAGGCCTACTGATATGTAAATAGGCCTAGATTGATAAGATTGGAATGTAATCGAGCATAATATCTTCAATGAGTAAATAAAATACGCGTGTTTACATAGCTAGGGGTTATTGAAGCGTTTCGATACTTATACCTGTATAGTTTTATTAGACCGTATCAATCATTAAACTATAGAAAAATAATACAATATAATAATTGCCCTCAAATATCTGTATTCTCTCCATATTGTGAATATAATGATGTATATTGTCTGATTGGGGGCCTTGACGGGTAACAATTTAAAATTTGAAATGAATTACAGTGAGTGAATAAAGGGCAGGTAAGGAATGGGATTTGATGTCTTGTCAACAAAACGTTACTTTTTCAGTTGAACCACACGTCTGATTAAAATCTGTATTTTAAGCAACAGTCAAACATTGTGGGTTTCCTCCGGATCCCACGGTGTCCTCCCACACGCAAGTGAATTATTGATATAAAAATAAACAATATTCTAGTCCCATAGAATGACCTAGTCTGTGTCGAGTGGATCTCTCTCTCTCTCTCTCTCTCTCTCTCTCGGCGTAATAGTGGCGTGCTATGACGGAAATTTCGATTTCCATCTTTCAAGAGAATTTGTGACATGTTATCAGTGGTATTCGTCCCATCTGAACGACTAGACCGCCCCCCCCCCTTCTCGCTGGATTGCTGACGAGGGGAAATTAAACAGGAAAATAGGGCTTAACAGTATTCAACGAACCATCGTGGCACCCTTGTTTTAAATATGAGAATGAATAAACAGTTTTATTATTACTGACATAAATTTCAATGGCGAATAGTCTTTTGTAGTTAGCTTACCTTAACACACGTTGTGTGTATTTACTAACTAAAAACTCGTGTTTTCGTCCCTTCCGAACGACTATATGCGGTTCCTTTATGTCGTGTTGTTTTTTCTTATTTAAGTTGCTAAAAACGTTGACAGGCTCCTGGATAAATATTTTATGATTTTACTTTACTTTCTCGTTCCAACCGAACGACTAGATATTGTTTTTTTTTTTTATGCCGGGACCTCTTTACGTTACTCGAAAAATACATTTAATACATATAGTCTTTTTGTATTTTCTGTCATATAGGAAAGAGGTAATATAGGCCTAGCCTGTTCCTCAATCCTTTTCTGTGAATAAAATATTGTTTAAGAAAAAAAATAATACATATTTTATACATATATGACAGACTCCTGGACAATATCTTTTATACATATTTGATGGTTATTTTACAGACTCCTGGATAAATACCTTTTATACATATTTGACAGACTCCTGGATAAATATCTTTTATACATATTTGATGGTTATTTGACAGACTCCTGGATAAATACCTTTTATACATATTTTATGGTTATTTGAGGTTTTATTTTATTAAACATGCTGGGTTTGGGTAATAAACACGGGTTTCATTTCACGTCCTATATTTATAACTAGGACGACGGCACGCGCTCTCTGATATAACAAGCTAATAATCAGTCATGTAATTAAATATTTGACATAACTTCTCACATCAACCAGTGACATTCAGAACTTAATTTCTGTTCGATTAATCCGGGTCAACAAGAAGGCGGGGTATGGTTACCTATGGCTTGAGAGAGAGAGAGAGAGAGAGAGAGAGAAATGATGTTTAACGTCCTACTGTTCTGCTCCTAAACTGGTCTAATGAAGACGGGCATACGCCACGGAGTGTGCTATGGGGTAAATATTGCCCGGACAGCGGCACTACGGCATACTCTTATAAGTTATATCGAATTCTAACTGATAAGGGCTTTTTTTTGTACACGGGACCTCGGTTTAACATTGACTGGAGGGTCACGGTGACCCTTAGCGTATGACCATAGGCGTACGGGGGAATTTTCGACTGGGGGGGGGGGCGGTGGTGGTTGGTGCCCCAAAAATGTAGTTAGGTTCTTAGTATGTTACATAATAATCATAATATCTCTTTTGCGATGAATAAGTTCTTAATTTCTAAATCATCATTAAAAGAGAACTAAATTTTATTTACTTGTAATATACACAACTAAAAACAGTTGTTTATGTAACTGTAATTCGTGGCTTACTGTACTCCAAACAATAGAGGGTTCGAGTCTTAAGATTTCTATTTAATTGCCTAACTCACTCGCTGTTAAATTTAAATTCGCTGTTAAATTGGACGCATTCAAAAACACAATATTTTTTATGCAACTTTTACAAAGTACAATTGTGTGCCCAAATTTTCCCAGCATTTGGTGCCCAAAATGGGGGGGTGGGGGCGGCCGCCCTCCCAGCCCCCCAGCTCGTACGCCTATGACAATGGCTCCATGTAACCAGGGTGTCCCAGGTTCGATCTCGATGTTAGCCGAAAAGTTGCTCGGGATTTTTCAACGTGATGTCCAACGTCAGTGGTGCAGGACAGTGTCTAGTCGTTCGGATGGTACGAAAAAAACCGAGATCTCATGTACACATTGTAGTAGACGCAAAAGAACCATTGACTGAATTCGATAAAAAGTTGATGAAAATAGTCCCCATAGCACTCTGCATTGTGTATGCCCTTGTTCATATTAGACCCCTTTTTATTTCATTTCTTATTTTCATTAACTAAACCTCTTCCTCAATCAAATTCAGAGATGAATAAAATAATGTTTATATTTTTTTTAACCGATCCATGTAAATGCACGGAAAGTCCCTGAATGAAGAGTCATTATTTTCATTAATAGTTGAAGAGTTAGCTCCCTCTAATTCTAACGAGACGAGTCCACAAAGGTGGAAGGAAATGAAATGAATTGGGGTTTAACGTCCTACTGTTCTGCTCCTATACTGGGCTAATGAAGACGGGCATACGCCATACAGTGTGCTACGAGGGAAATTTTGCCCGGGCAGCGCCACTATCGCCTACTCTTATATCGAATTCCAACTGCCAGGGGATCTTTTACGTGCATTCCAATAAATACACGGGACCTCGGTTTTTCGTCTCATCCGAAGGACTTGACAGCTGTCCTTTTCAGGCCCTCCCTTCTGCACCACTGACAAGGGGAAACCACGTCGGAAAGGTGGAAGGATTTGCATATATTATTATACATTGTAGATGCATTATGTAAGAATTAGATACAGAGCTGGTCGTTCTTGCTATAATAGTTCCAATATAGACAATGAAAAATGAATATACTGAAAATCTCTTTCAAGTTCCTTTATTCTGGGCGAAGTTAAGGGTGTTTGAAGATATAGCGTAGATCGTTTATTATCGTAGCAACGGTACTTGACAATCAAGACTAAGTTTCGGAGGTGTTCAAATCCATTTAAATTTCTGCCATCCGATAATCTACAAAGTTGATTATAGGTTTGTCATGTTAATAAATTTCTAATTAATAGTTTATGTAATATTTGAAGCCTTATTCTGGACGAAGTTGTAAGTGTTTGAAGATGTATCGTAGATCGTTTAATAATCGTAGCAACGATACTTCACAAGTCTCGATTATCCATTTTATCATTAAATTTTTAAATCTCGCGGGTGTTCAAATCCATTTAAATCTCGGCCACCCGGTGATCTAGAGAGTTTTGTTATAGTAGGCTTGACATGTGAATAAAAATGTCTAAATAATAATTTACATAATAATAATAAGAGTTCTTATAAAGCGCTAGATTCCAAACAATATTGTTTGCTCAAAGCACTGACAAAATTTACAGGAAATAGTTATAAATATGAACAATGAAACAGGTAGGTTTTGAGTATTTGTTTAAAGACACTGAGATATGGGGCTCTCTGTAGATGTAGTGGTAGAGAGTTCGGAGTATGTGCTGCATTAAATGCTAATGATATGCAATGATCTGGTCGCGGCAGCGGACTGTCAGCAGGTGACGGATATTACCAATATCTCGCAAATGGAAATAACACATTCTGAATATTTTCGAGACTTGTCTGTCTATGTTTAGGGCATGTTCCTGAAGCAACGACCGTGAGTTTTACAACATCTAGCTGATAAGATGTACGTAGTTAAGGCGAGATCAAGCCTTCTATTGAAGATGTGTTTAGGGAAGCATTCCACGATTTTTAACACTTAGTGAAAATTATATATTATAGATCGTCACACTTTCTGCCGACGTTTTAAGGGATCGATGATCATATATTCTATTTAACCAATTCTGCACACAGAGATCCATCTAGTGGAGCAAACTGTAGACAGACAGCCTAAGTTTAGTATGCTATTTAACCGTCATTCAGTTTCAACACGTTTGATCTTAAATAAAAAAAAATAAATAAGCTGTCCTCCTTAGCACTAAACCCCTTTCGGAAATGGATTGGGGTTTAACATCCTACGTTTCTGCACCATAAAAACGGGCATAAGCCAGAAGGTCTTTGGATCGCTCCAGGTGTTGCTCGAGATACTTCCCCAGGATTTTTCGGCTTGGTTTCCACTTTGTCTGTGGTGCAGGACGGAGGGCAAGGCAAGGAACAGTTCGGATGGGATGAAAAAATGAAGCCCGCTGTGTAAACCTAGTAGGCGGAAACCGATCCATTGGAAGTTGGAAATGGAAATAAAATTAGGTCGTAGCGCCGCTGTGCTGACAAAATTTCCCGCATAGCAAACTGCACATCTAATGCCCGTCTTCATTAACCCGGTCGGTGCACTAAAGTAGGACGTCGAATTTATTTTTCTTTTCATGTTTCCCATACCCACTGTATTTACGGTGCTGTTGTGTAATAAACATGCATTATTATCATTACTCTTTCTGTAGCACCCTGGTTTCGAATCCCAGGTTGTACGTGACAAGGAGTAGGGTCGCCTGTCCAACCTCGTGGGTTATCTCCAGGTCCTCCGGTTTCCTCCCACTGCTAAAGACCCCTACGCGCAAGCGAATTATAGAAATAAAATTGAACCATGTGTTAGTCCCGAAATGACCTAGTTTGTGTCGAGTGGACATTAAACCTTATTTCTCTCTCTTTCTATAGCACCCGTGGCTCAGTGGCGGTTCCGTATTCCATCTTAGTGTTAACCGAGAAAGTTCATCGGGTTTTCCAATGTGGTTCACCCTTGTCAGTGGTGAAGGACGGAGGGCCTGACAAGGACAGCTGTCTAGTCTTTCGGATAAGACGAAAACCGATGCCCCTTGTATACATTGGCGTTCACGTAAAAGATCCCTTGGCAGATGGAATTCGATATAAGAGTAGGCCATAGTGCCGCTGCCCAGGCAAAATTTCTCCCATTGCACATTGTATGGCGTATGCCCGTCTTCATTAGATGGAGTGCCTAACAAGGTACAGCGTATAGTCGTTCGGAAAAGCGAGGTCCCGTCTAAGGATTGGAGTGCACGTAAGCGAACCGTGGACAGTTCAATTTGAAATAAGCCAGGGTAATCCGCAGCGCCGCAGTTCGGGCAAAATTTCATCATAACACACAATATCGCGTATCAGAGCAGAACAGTAGGGTTTTAAGCCCCGTTTCATTTCTATAACACCCAATACCATATCCCAGTAGAACGTTAAACCCTATTTTATTTCTATAACACCCGATACCATATCTCATTAGATAGCTAACATATTCTGCTTGAGTTGGTGTATGGTTTGTATAGAGAAAATAACATGACATTTCAGACAGTGCACTTCTATAGATAATAAATCATGACCGAAGTACTGCACCGATATGTCTGTCACGGGCTAAATCTATTTGTTAAGGCCAGCTGAATTTTTGTCAAGGTCGCTGAGATAAGGTGGGGGTTGGATGGCCGAATGGTTAGCACGTCCGCGCTGTATCATACGGTCTGTCATTGAGTCAACTGGCGGGGTTTCGATTCCCCGGTTGTACGTGACAATAGGAGTAGGGTCGCCTGTCAACCTCGTGGGTTTTCTCCCACTGCTAAAGACCCCTACGCGCGCAAGCGAATTATTGAACCATGTGTTAGTCCCGAAATGATCTAGTTTGTGTCGAGTGGACGTTAAACCCCATTTTTCTCTCTCTCTTTCTCTGTCTCTCTCTCTCTCTCTCTCTCTGAGATAAGGTTATACGGCACGTGATTGATGGCGAGATTGTAGGTTAGGGTTAGGGTAAGCATTGGGGATAGGTCAAGGGTTAGGGATTAGCGCTAGCCCTGTTTACATCTTGTGACCTCTGACGAAAAATTGAGCTGGCTTTATCATTTAACACTAACCGTCTAGGTCACGTCAATGTTTTGATATCTCCGATGTTGCTATGATACGATACGCGATAAATCAATCCAGTATCATTGATTGCTTATTCTGTAAACGATGTACCAAATACATGAAATTATACAGTAAAAGAAAAACTGTATTTCGCCAGTCCTACATTTAGACCTCGCATACTTATACTCAATTATATAATTATATATGTACTCTTCACCAGCTAGCCTATTAAAATAGGTCAAACTTTCACCAACACTATACGCCTACATGGACTTATATATAGGCCTACAGACTGGATTCTCTTGTTGAAATGTAAACAACTATCTTGAGACTGACGACTATTTATCGTATTTTGTTGCAGAAGAGTTGTTGGATGGCTTGGTCTGTTGTTTGATCCAGTAGAATAGTAAAGATATAACTATAATAGGTAGGTTTTGTTCTTGGTTTATATTATTATTTTATTAAGACGAGATCTATCTAACCCTGTATAGAGACGATTATAACTACTCCGAGTTTTGTTTTCATTCGCTGGGCACGTCTCTTGGACATTCTTTCTTTGATAATAAATGAGATTCACTGCCTGGTGATTGTACTCATAGGCGCACGAGAGATTTCATAAATTAGAGAACTCTGATTGTTCCAATTCATCCTGTGAATACTGTCAGAATATCGCACTTTTGTTTGAAATATCTCTGATTAATGTCCGAATAGTCTTATACGTACGTGCGTTTCGGATCATTGAGTGAAGTGTCGTTGTTTTGATCTCAGACTCGTTTGTACGGATTAACGGATTAATGCTCAATGATAAGGTCAACTCAATTGTTTGTCATAGGTCACGAGATGGCTAGCCCAAATTCTTAAATCTAACCCTGGACCTAGCACCAATGCTTGCCCTAACCCTTACCAAAAATCTTGCCAACGACCACGTGCCCTATAACCTTATTTACATCTCAACGACCTTGACAAAAATTGAACTGGCCTTACAAAATAGATTTAGCCGTTTGTACGCAAGTATACATGTATGTACGTAGATTATTAATTCTTTGGATATACACGATACACGATCTCTTTGGATATACACGATACACGATCTTTTTGGATATACAATCTCTTTGGATACACTTAGGAATGCTGCAGTTTTTACTAGCATGTTAACGTCTGCTTCCACAGTATTGATATCGCAGTCTATAACAGTTCCTTAATTAGCACCGCCTATGTTGGTGACCCCAGGGTTTCTTTTCCTTGCACTCCAATGTTTCATGTACAACCGAACGATTATACAGTTCCATCACAGGCCGTCCGTCCCGCGTCATCACTGACATATATATTTGGAGAAACCACGCTGGAAAATCCAAATGAAACCGGGAACCCACCCAGTGCCTTTCTGACTGAACCACCGTGGGCCCCACTAACCAATAATGTATCAGGCAAACTCTTGCAGACTGATCAAGCCAAAGAAATGACCTTTAATAAAAAGTTGATATTGACGCCTAATTAACCCTACTTCATCTCCAAAAGTTATAGAAGCAGTCGAGCAAAAATTTAATGCGGACCAGTTTGACTTTTTGCCTTGTAAAATAAAATTTGTGTTGTGAAGGTTTTCCCCATTATTGTGGATTGGATGTGTTGTTCTGTGTTTTAGTTGGAAAATTGATGCCGCGAGAGAGAGAGAGAGAGAGAGAGAGAGACGTCTTTAGTAATGGGGGGAAACCGGAGGACTCGCAGAAAACCCACGAGGTTAGAAAGGTGACTCTCCTCCTTGTCACGTACAACCGGGGAATCGAAATCACGCGAGTTGACTCAATGACATATATATGATACAACGCGCATACGCCAACAATTCGCCCCCCCCCCCCCAATTGCTATTATGAATCAGCCCTACTTACAAGTCACAGAAATGAAATAGGGTTTAACGTCCTACTGTTCTGAACTGACTGGGCTAATGAAGACGAGCATACGTCATACAGTGTGTTATGAGGGAAATTTTGCTCGCACAGCGGCACTACTTTCTATCTAATATTGAATTCCAAATTCCAAGGGTTATTTTACGTACACGCCAATCTGTATACGGGACTTCGTTTTTTGTATACACTGTCTCTTGCCAGGCCCTCTGTCCTGCACTACTGACAGGCCAGTAAGTCCTGATGGACCTCCAGGTAAGCGAGTCAATGTCTTACTCTCTGAGCCACCATGATTCGGTGATCTAATAGTCGTAGGTGTACGCTTTAGATCACAAGGTCTGTTAATGAGTCAGGTCTTCAGGAGGACGTTAAACCCCATTTCATTTCTGTTAATGAGTTAATGAGTAATTTCATTAAGTGGCATTTAGTAATTGAACAGTAACACACTAATACTATTTATGGAATAACATTTACTGGTTAATTAAACATGCATTATGCAAGAGCTAAATCTGCCTATTGCAGGTCTTTCTTTAGGCCTGAAATGTTTTCTAAAGTATTAATTAGACATTAATTAACTGATCCAGGCCTTAATCAACTCTCGATGGCATCAGATTTCTCCGATATTAAATAGATTAGAATGGTTCAGCGATACTTTGATTTAATCAAATATGGAGGACCGAGACTTAGCTTCGATCAACCAGTACGGTGGTTGAAATTATTGCACACGTCTGTCAAACCTTCAAAGGCTAATATCTTCGCTTGCAATAGAGTAATTTGAATGAAATTTTCAAATTATTCATTTTACATCATCTACTTTCGAACTATAATAGCAAGAATGGCTAGTTCTTTATTTAAATCTTACATAATGTATCTTTAATTAACATGCAACGTTTCGACGATGATACCCTCGTCTTTATCAAGCAAAATGATAAAGACAAGAGTATCATCGTCGAAACGTTGCATGTTAATAAACTAGTAATTGTTATTTTATAAATAGTGTTAGAGTGCAATGAGTAATTAATCCCACACTTGTGTGTGACAAGAAGTATGTTCGTCAGCTAACCTCAGGGGATTTCTCCGGGTCTGTCGGTTTCCCAAGTTGGCGTTAACCTCATCTCTCTGTCGCGCGCTACCCCCCCCCCTCTCTCTCTCTCTCTCTGTACGCCCCCCCCCCCAGTGGGCACCACGCCCCTGACGTCTATGGAGCTTATAGCTACCAATAAACACTACGAGATATAGGGTAATAAAAGTGCAACTTGATAAGACAAGATGCCTATTGCACCATAGCGTCACCAAGGACCAGGTGCATATCTGGGTAATCAGGATTTGTTTACCTAGCCTACTCCAGTTGATATTTAGCATATCTAATTGTATATACTTCGCCGAGTGCATTTCGTGATGAGAAATTCTATATTTATAACTCACACACTGATAGCGACACGCAAAACCTATATTTTTAAAACTCAAAAACTTATAGTGTCACGCAAACGTTCTATATTTAAAACGCAAAAAGTTATAGTGTCACGCAAACATTCTATATTTATAAGTCTTATATCGACATGCAGAGATTTCATATTTAAAACTTACTTACAGCGACATGCAGCTTATGACATCATCAGATGTAAGTTCACAAGCGTTTTATGTTATATTTAAAATACTGAGACACAATGAAAATGCACCACTTTTATAAATGGATGATCGTAAATCTCCTTTAAGAGACACATGTCGATTTACATTTCTGAACGACAGAAAATGATGTTTTAGCAATCGTGTTAACAACGTACCATAGATCAGTTCTCTCAAACATAGAAAATTGTATTCAACAGAATGTTGAAAATCGTGGTTTTATGGAGCAGCGATGGTGCCTAAACTGCTGGCATTTTGTCAGTACAACTCATTACGTTCTTTGAGTGTCTGATAACAACTTACCAGAGCTGTCACCTATGGAAGCGTACAGGGGTCAATAGCGCGATGGATACCGCGATATTAATAAGGTACTATTATGTCAATATATTGTGATCGTTGCGATGATTTTACCCCTGCATGGACTGTTTTTGTTGAGTTAACTGAATCAACTCACTGACTTGTATTTCGTCATTTCGTAAATGCGCACGTTTGCGTTCAGATATTGTTATTATGAAGCTTTGTCGATATATTCCAATTATGTTGACATAGCGCATGGCGATGTTTTACGAACATGCCGCAATATACGACGGCGAAATGGACTATGTCGACAAAGCTTCAGAATAGCAATATCTTAACGCAAACGTGGCCATTTAAAACGACAAAACGACATACAACATAGAGCGTTGATTCAATTAACTCGGCATAAATAATCTTTTCAGGGCTAAATCATCTCAAAGATATTATAACCCTATTAATTTCTCGGTATTTATGTACCTATTGTCTTTTACACGCTTCCATAGTCACAAGAACATTTGGAGGGCATCATACTACTATGCTGGGGGAGGGGGGTCACGGTGGCTCGCTAGTTTGGAGGTCGGGTGTTCGATAAAATTCATCCGATAAAGTTCCCCCTTGTCAGTGATGCAGGACGGAGGGCCTGACAAGGACAGCTGTCTAGTCGTTCGTGTACACATTGGCGTGCACGTAAAGGATCCCTTGACAGTTGGAATTCGATAGTTGGATAGTTGGAATTCGACAGTTGGAATTTCCCTTATAGCACACTGTATGGCGTATGTCCGTCTAGATTATCCCAGTCGGAACAGAACAATATGATGTTAAACCCCATTTCATTTCATTTTATTTCATACTACTATCCTGAGACTTTCCGATCATTAACAGCAGGCATTGTCCACTGGACATCGGTCACGATCTGGACGAACAACAACGCTCGACAACACTTCGACAAGAGCAGCACATCATCCGGCAACATCTGTAGGATCATAGGATGTCTACTTCCCGTACTGCTGCTACTGTGAAGTGTTCAAATTGGTTTATCAGTGCTGATACTATTCGTGGCCGACCACGCTCTGGCTGAGTGCCAGACGATCTTACAGAGGACCAATCCTGACTCAGTGCCGTTAAGGACTTTTTAATTTTTAGCCCTGATGCCTACACTTCACTATTATGTCCTTCGTGATTTGTTGGTTATCTTGTTTCATCTTTGAATGACATTTAGCGATTGAAAATAATATAACACAACACAGTTCTGTGGATTGGATAACATTCATGATATTATATACACATTATCTAATATACTAATCCTTCACTGCTCTAGAAGTTAACTTTAAACCTATAGTGTTAAACCTGCGCCGGTTTCGCTGGATATTCCTGGGACAGAAAGGAAAAAGTTCAACCCCATTTCATTTAATCTATCCGGGCCAGTGGTTAGGTCTAAATATTAAGGCTAACTGCAGATTTGTTCAAAGGTCATGGGATGTAAACAGGGTTAGCGCTAACCCTAACTAGAGGCTACCATCTCGTCAGCAATCACGTGCCCTAACACTATTTACATCTCGCGACCTTGACGAAATTTGCAATTGGCCTTAGTATTTAGACTTGACCCTGGCGCAATTAATGTATTAATAGTCTGAATCAGTCAAGTGTATTGGTTTTTTTTTCTTTCAGATATATCGACTCTCGACGAATTAAAACAACCAAGTCAACCATCATGAATTTTTTTGGTCTAATTGACATACCCGTTTGGATTTTGTTGATATCTTTCATTCTGTCATTAGCTATCGTGTAAGTTTTCATTTAAATAACTTAATAAGAAATATGGCGATCTTTGATGAAGGAAGACTTCAATTTTAAGAGGTCATATATATCGAAAAAAGTTATCTGGAAAAGGAATCTATATTTTTCGAATTGAAATCCAAATTTGCCCCATTTCGTGAATTAAATACAAAATGTTACAGAAAAATGGTATTTTAGTAAGCCACATTTTTGGGATAGACAGTTGCTCCGAACTGGGCTGATGAAGACGGGCATACGCCATACAGTGTGCTGTGGACGAAATTTTGCCCGGACAGCGGCACTACGGCCTACACTTATATCTAATTCCAATTGTGAAGGGATCTTTTACGTGCACGCCAATGTGTACACGGGACCTCGGGTTTTCTTCTCATCCGAATGACTCCATTTGGTACTGACAGGGTATGTTTAGTTTTCTCAAACAGCTGATACCACGTCTCATTTGCGGTGTCGACATAATAACGATGAGCAAACTTTTATATTTTAGGTATATCACGTCGACTCATGGAATGCTTAGAGCAGCAGGTGTCCCTGGTCCACCTCCAGGAATATTTGGAGTCGTCAATGAATACAATAAAAAGGTAAGACCGGTATCTAGCGGAGCATGTTTATTTTTGGCTGTTGATATTCTAAGCTCAAAATTATTAAATGAATAAAATTGAGGGTTTTAAACAGACCCAATAAGAGAAGTTGTCATCTATCTGAATAATATGATGTTTTATTATATTTTCTATTAATTGATTTAGGGAGTCGGACAGACGGATCTGGATTTAGTCAAGAAATATGGTCGACTTGTAGGGTTAGTGTTATCGTTAAATATTTTATAAAATATGAACACCCAAACAACAAGACAGAATAGTTCAAAACACAAAACTATTTTGTGGTTTCCTCTTGCCAGTGGTGTCAAATCGTTCGGATGAGAAGGAAACCTTGGGTCCCGTATAAACGTTGGCGTGCACATAAAAGAATCCTTTAAAGATGGAAGAGTAGGCAGAAATGCCGCTGTCCGGGCAAAATGTCCCTCGTAGCACACTGCATGACGTATATACATCTTCATCATCCTGGTTTCTGTAGAAAAGTAGGACGTTAAACCCCATTTTTTTTTCATTTCATTTGAGGCAAATATGTCACTCCATCGCCGAGATATAAATGCGGTAAAGCCTAGCTCATAACCCGCCGTAAGTGACGCGTTAGTCCCATAACCCGCCGTAAGTAACGCGTTAGTCTCATTACCCGCCGTAAGTGACGCGTTAATCTCATAACCAGCCGTAAGTGACGCGTTTGTCTCATAACCAGCCGTAAATAACGCGTTAGTCTCATAACCCGCCGTAAGTAACGCGTTAGTCTCATAACCCGCCGTAAATGTTTTAACACGCACGAGTTGTAGGATTTGGTAGCTTGCAAGAAACTGGATGAAAATTTTGTACGTGCCGAACACACGCAAGTGGCGCGTTAGTCTCACTTACGGGTTTACTAACATTTCCGACGTAGGCTGTCAGTAGTAGCAATGCACGAATCGTATGCATTGCATATGGAAATCTATTGCTTTGATCTGACCATTGCCTCGCTTGGCTTTTCAATAATTAACTGAGTCTACTATGATATTATATTAAATTAATTCCATTTATTAAAAGTTTTATACCATTTAACTTTTTAATCAGTGTTAATCCACAGGTGTGTAATATCTATTTTCAGTATTTATCACGTGCGACTACCTATATTACTAGTGGCTGATGTTAATATTGTGAAAGAAATTTGTGTTAAAGAATTTCCTCGTTTTACCAACAGAGTCGTAAGTATAATAGATACAGGAGGATACTCAAATGAACGTCCCGGAATTAAATTCTCTCAATCCCAAAAAACTGACAATCTGCCTATTACAAGTGTTTATTTTGGCATCAAATGTTATATAAATTATTATTTAGACATTTATTAACTTGCCAAGACCATAATCAACTCTCGATGCCATTGGATGTCATATCCATGGATGCACAATTGTCCACTAAGGGTTCGTACGAGGGCTTTTGACCCTATGATGTCAAATATCGATTAATCAATCAGCGTTTCTAGTGGTTTACCCACAGTTCCGTGCATGGCACACCAAGAAGTCGCCGTAACAGAATGTTTCATTGGCTTATTACTCACGTCAACCAAAACGCCGCTAATATAACAACTCTTTGCGATCCTTGTGTAGTAAAGACATGTAAAACGAAATTTTGAACTATAAAAAACGAAACGAAATAGGATCTGTGTTTTAATCATATTGATCCAATGATTGTTTTCAATATTAACTGTATTGTGTTTTCTCAAATAAAATCGTTGTATTTTTTACTGACAGGTTCTGCTACCAAATGATGAAGTGAATCAATTGTCGGTAGGGAACGCTCGTGATGAAGATTGGAAGTTCACACGAAGTCTTTTAAGTTCTTCTTTTAGTAGCGGTAAAATAAAAAAGGTATGCATTTCTTTTGTCTGCATTATTACCCTCGGTGGATGCAAAATGAAATAAAATGGGGTTTAACGTCCTACTTTTCTGCACTGTCTGGGCTAATGAAGACGGGCATACACCATTTATTGTGCTATGAGGGGAAGTTTGCCCGGGTAGTGGCACTACGGCCACTCCTATTTCGAATCCCAATTGTCAGGGGTTCCTTTACGTGCACGCCAATGCATACACGGGGCCTCGGGTTTTTTTGTCTCAGCACAACGACTATACGTTGTCCCTTGCCAGGCGCTCCGCCCTAAACACTGAAAAAGTCGAACCACGTCGGAACATGTCGATGAACGTTCTCGTCAAACACCGGGATCGAACCTATATGCTACCGAGTCAATGTCTTACTCACTGCGAGCCCCTGGTGTTGGCCAAGAAAATCCCCCGGAATTTCCCAGCATGATTTTCCCCGTGTCAGTGTTGTAGGACGGGTTCTTGGCAAGGAAAAGCGTCCAGCCGTTCGGATGGGACGATAAAGCGAGATCCTGCGTACATGTTTACGGAGATGTAAAACAAAGCTTGACAGTTGAAATTCGATGAAAACTAGCCCTTGTTGTACATTGAATTCCGTGGGTGAAGGTTGCCCTTAGTAATCACGAGTTTTAGGGGTGATAACTCTGGTGTCAAATTAAAATTAGATTTTGAAAGTAGAAAATATAAATTGTGACGTCATCCCCTTCATTTATATTGATCCTGTTCACTAATGCAGAAAGGGATAATTAATATTCATAAAACTGTTTCCATGACGGAATTGTTTAACAAAGATGCTGGTGGGCGTATGCTAAGTTACCTCTTTTGTTGTAGATGATTCCATTGATTGAAAGCTGCAGTCACATCTTGATAAAACATTTAAAGAACAAAGCTGAGACTGGCGAGGAGTTCGAAATGAAAAGGTAGAGCATACATAATACGGTACCGGGTCAAAACGATTACCAACCGAAACCGGTTTGACAGTGCACCTTACTTTTTGTAGGTACAAAATAAGCGATCCTTGCCATGGGATTGTTTCTAGCAGGAACCACTGCATGGTTTTCACTGAGTTTCGTCAAGTTGGGATCATAAATGGCTGATTCTGGTCATGAACGGTTGATTTCGGTGACAAGCGGATGATTCCGGTGTGAAACGGTTGATTCCGGTGACAGAATAGAAGAAGTGGTTTCGATTCACCGGTTGTACGTGACAAAGAGTAGGGTCGCCTGTCCAACCTCGTGGGTTTTCTCCGGGTCCTCCGGTTTCCTCCCACTGCTAAAGACCCCTACGCGCAAGCGAATTATTGAAATAAAATTGAACCATATGTTCGTCCCGAAATTACCTAGTTTGTGTCGAGTGGAGGTTAAACCCCATTTCTCTCTCTCTCTCCATAATGAGATAAATGTATGTCTATTTTCGTCTCATATTCAAGTAAGACTATAATGAGATAAATATTCTATTTTCAGATTCATGAGTAGCTTTACTCTCGATGTGATATGTAGTGTAGCGTTTGGTATAGACATAGATTCTCAGAACGACCCCAATAACCCGTATGTACGCAATGCACTTAAAGCTATTAATATCAGTTTTCGTTCACCCGTTATGATTTTATGTTGTAAGTATATCTTTGCATTCTACCTTTAGCTGCGACAAACCTACCGTGAAAGCAGGTTTTGAACTACCACGCTTCCCCCCCCCCCCCCACGCCCCTCAGCTAGGTCACGCGCCTGTCAGCACCTATGCGCTGATAAGACCTGATAAGGGGAACCACCGTAGCAAGAGCAACCCGAGTGTCCGTCATGTCGTTAAAACAACTGGGGTGTATTGTCCCGTGTCCGAAATATCGTGCATACAACTTGGGTGTATTGTCCCGTGTCCGATATATCGTGCATACAACTTGGGTGTATTGTCCTGTGTCCGTATTGTCGTGAATACAGCCTGTATCCAGCGCATTAACAACACTGGTTTCTCTTATAAGTTTTACACGTACACGCTGGTGACATGGCGTCATTGGCAAGCCGGGATACGAACGTATTGTGAACACACTGGAGAGACTTAATTCAGTCACCTTGCTGATATACCCGAGCTATTTAAACATACTTTATGCAAGAGGTAAATCTGTCCATTGCAGGTCTTTCTTTACTCCTGAAATGTTATATGAACTATTAATTAGACATTTATTAATATGAAAAGACCATAATCTTATCTATCCGATTTTCATTGGATTTGAACCCGATTTACTGTTCAAAGTCCGTTGATGATTAAACGCAAAAGTGGATAATCGAGACTGTTAATTATCGTGACAACGCTAACATTGACACATGAGGCAAGAGTGAAAGCATATTCCCTTTACATCATCTAGCTTTTAGCTACTATAGTGTGAACGGCCAGCTCTTTATCTAATCTTTAATGTATCTGTAAATAACAGTTTTCAAAACAATCCAAGGACGACCCCCACCCTCCACCCACCCACTCAAATTACGCTATAACTGGTTTATTTTCTAGTTTTGTTTCCGTTCATGAAAGATATATTTCAAAAGTTGGGGATGACATTTTTGGACAGGAATAGTCAGAATTTTTTCGTAGAAGAAACTTCAAAAGTTATAAAAGAAAAAATCCAAGATCCCAAGGTATGTATTTGTTAGTTGAACTCATATATCATACGATAAAATCCAATCTGATTAAAACACAGATCCTATTTCGTTTCGTTTTTTTTATAGTTCAAAATTTCCTTTTACTTATCTTTACTACACTAGGATCTGGAAGAGTTGTTATCATTGGCGTGTTCTGGATGATGTGAGGGTCTGGGCAATGAAACAGTCTGTTACAGCTGATTGGTTAATCAAATGTCTGACGTCATAGGGTCAAAAGCCGCTCGTATGACCTCTGACGCGACCCATCACTACAACCGGTCAGATCTTCATGTAGTGTAGGCCATCGAAAGTATAAGAAAACGAAACGAAATATAGATCTGTATTTTAATTCGATTTTCTTTTTTTCCTAATATTTGCAAATGGGAAGACAGCCCGAGGTCTCGTGTACCCATTGGTGTGCACGTAAAAGAACCCTTGATAGTTATAATTCGAAAAAAAATAGGCTGTAGCGCGGCTGTCAGGTCAATTTTTTCCTCACAGCACACAGTATGGCGTATGCCCATCTTCAGTAGCCTAGTCGGTGCAGAAACATAGGACGATAAACCCTATTTCATTTCCCCTGTTCTATTTATAGAAACGTGATGATATTTTACAACTTATGATAAATGTCAAAGAAGAATCTCAACAAAATGAAAGTTATTCAGTTGGTGGAGTTCATAAAGGTATTCTATCATAATTTATTTATAGAATCACATATTGAAACCAGTGGTCTAAGTGGGTAAAACGCTGGCTCGCTAGCCTGGAGATCCGGACCCGTAGCCACGGGGGGGGGGGGGGGGGCTTGGGGAGCTTAGCCCCCCCCCCCCCCAAAAAAAATAATCGAATTAGCCCCCCCCAAATATTTCGCCAACAATAATGATTTCTTAGGAGCGTTCTAAGCCGGCCACATCCTCAGCCCCTCCAAAAAATTCCGTAGCCACACCAAATATTAAGAGCTGGCTACGGGTCCGATTCGATACCTGCATTGGTCGAGAAAGTTCATCCAGATTTTCCGGTGTCTAGTCGTTCGGATTGGACGAAAAATCGAGGTCCCGTGTATACATTGGCGTGCACGTAAAAGATCCCTTGGCTGTTGAAAGTCGATATAAGAGTAGGCTGTAGCGCCGCTGTCCGGGCAAAATTGCCCTCATAGCACACGAATTATTTGTCAATTTCAATCAACATTGATGATGTTGTGATCTTCCGGGAAACGATGGACTTCTGATGTCCAATATTGATGACTAAATAAACTTTTTACTAATGGTACACGAATCGTGTACCATAATGCGTTTTATCGTCATTTGTAACAAGGGACTCGAAGAACAAGGCTAGACATGTTCCACATGTCACGTTGTTATATTATTATCTGGAGAGCATGAACAATAAATAATATCGGTGTAGACTTGAATAACCAGACGCTAGAGATTGCCATTCGATTGAGACTTCTGGCATATTTCGCCGAACTAAACTGATTTGAATTTAGAGTAAAAACGGAAACGATTGAATGGAAATCCATTTATACACATTCATATTACATTGTTATATGCGTTACGACCCATTTGTGTCAATTTCTAGGTCCCAAATATTAACGATTTAGCTCCTTTAATAAAACACGGGACTATCTGCAACACCATAATTAATTATGTATGGCCTTAGCAAAATGAAAAAGAGTATTCTTAAACGTTTTAGAGATAGGAATCCAAAGTACATGTATACAACACTAATTGTTTTCTTTATAATGTTTTCAGTATTTACAGATCTGCACATTATATCGAACTCGATCACGTTTCTTATTGCTGGGTTTGAAACGACTTCAAATACCCTCAGCTTTATTAGTCATTTACTGGCAACCAATCCTGAACTTCAAGACAAGATGATACAAGAATTAGATTACTTTGTTGGCGAGGTAAGGGTGTGTTGCACTGAACTATATCTGACATGTTCTGTTGTTGACTTGTGGAAAACGACGATGGTGAAACAGGCATATTCACAGATTCGTGTATCTGGACTCGGATTTGAAGATCTAGAGGGATCTGGAATCTGGAAAGGCCTTTATTCGGATTATTGTCTCCACGACTTTGATTATAAAACTTAATGTCATTGTAGACCTACTCAGATATAAATCTTGCCATACATGTACTTATTAAAATCATACCCAATAAAAGTCAATTTTTCACATATAGAGGATCCGTGTATACATTGGTGTGCACGTAAAAGATCCCTTGGCAGTTGAAATTCGATATAAGAGTAGGCCATATTGCCGCTGTCCGGACAAAATTTTCCATATAGCACACTGTATGGCGTATGCCCGTCTTCATGATCCCAGTAGGAGCAGAACAGTAGGACGTTAAACCTCATTCCATTTCATTTTCGTTTATTTACCAGGGGGAGATAACTAACGACAACTTGTTTAAACTACATTATATGGACAGATTTATCAGCGAAACGTTGCGAATGTATCCTCCAGCCATCAGGTATGTATTATTCATACTGCCATAAAACATAGAAACACTATTGTATAAAAAGGTCACTTTAAAAAACACGGTGTTATGAATTCGCTGTCGCGAGAAGAGAGGGCGGGTCATCTTCGACCTTCGTCCTAATAGGTGCACAAGTCAGGCTACATGTATTATAGAAAAACAGGCCAGACTACATGTATTACAGGAATACATTCCAGGCTACATGTATTACAGAAACACAAGCCAGGCTATATGTATTATAGAAACACAGACCAGACTATATGTATTATAGGAACACAAGCCAGGCTGCATGTATTATAGAAAAACAGGCCAGACTACATGTATTACAGGAATACATCCCAGGCTACATGTATTACAGAAACACAAGCCAGGCTATATGTATTATAGAAAAACAGACCAGACTATATGTATTATAGGAACACAGGCCAGGCTACATGTATTACAGAAACACAAGCCAGGCTATATGTATTATAGAAACACAGACCAGACTATATGTATTATAGGAATACAGGCCAGGCTACATGTATTACAGAAACACGAGCCAGGCTATATGTATTATAGAAACACAGACCAGACTATATGTATTATAGGAACACGGGCCAGGCTACATGTATATGTATTATAGGAACACGGGCCAGACTACGTATGTATTATAGGAATACAAGCCAGACAACGTGTATTATAGAAACACAAGCCAGGCTATATGTATTATAGAAACACAAGCCAGGCTACATGTATTACAGGAACACAGGCCAGGCTACATGTATTATAGAAATAAATGTATGACATGCCAAATTTTGTTTGATATGACAAGCAGTTATAAGTGATGTTAGGTCGCATTGGATTTTCACCCTATTATGTAAACTAATTTTAGATCCATGTATTATAACATAAAACTATGTAAGCACATTAATTACTTTTAGATCGAAGCATTATTACATTACACTATATAAGACAAATTAATCCATTTAGATTCATGCAATATTACATTAAGTTTACATTATGTGAGACAAATTAAATGGGCATTAGGTAAGATTATAGTTGCAATTTCATATTTTTAAGTTATATTTTTAAAATTTATTAAAATTAAGCCTTAAAATAGATTGTTAAAGAATAATCCTATAATTCACTATTGCGAGTTGAGAAATTGGCAAAAATATCATTTTCATCTTCAAATTCCAGCGTTTGAAAATAGCTACTCCATGGTGGAGAATAGAAAACAAGGGAGGTAATTGTGTTATTATTTCCGGTGTAAATGAGTTTTAAGTGTGAGAATGACACCTATGATTGTATAATAGTGAGTTGACAACCTATTGAGCAAAAGACATACAAATAATTATGTTTTGACTTTCTTAGAAAATATGAAATTGTAACTTTAAATAAAAAGCTAACAGTTCTCGCTATAATAGTTAAAAACAAATAGATAATGGAAACAAAATATGCTGAAGATTTCTGAACCAAGATATTAGCCATTGAATTTTAGGCTAGCCTCAGTCGTCATTACTGGCGTTGGTATGATAATAAACAAAGACGACTCGATTATCCAGATTATCAATTTTTACGTTAAATTACCCATCACAAAATGTATTCAAATCCAGTAAATATCGCAGGCTAACGATGACATCGAGAGTTCATTGTGGTCTGGATAAATTAATAATTTAGATAACATTTCAGGCCTACAGAAAGACCTGAAATAGGCAGATTTAGCTCTTGCATAATGCATGTTTACTCCGTTTAGATCCAAGCAATATTACATTGGGTTTACATAATGTAAAGTAATTAATATATTTTAGATCCAATCGAGAAGCATCAGAAGACATCGAGATTGGGGGTTACAAGTTACCACGTGGTACAGAAATAAACGTAGCAATATATGCTATACACCATGACCCCGAATATTGGAATGACCCGGAAACTTTTGATCCAGACAGGTAGGCTAGACCTTTCAATTTAAAGGCATGCTCCTTTGAGAATTTAAGGATATGTTCTTTTTAGAATTTAAAGGTATATTTCTTTGAGATGGGGAATAACCCCTCAGATTGCCATAACACCAGTTAAATAAAATTCTATCCTTCCAAAAACGCCGGAGTTACCCATTAAAGGTATGCTAACATTGGTTGATAAAGACTAGAGAAGGGCCTGGCAAAGAACGCTGTCTAGTCCCTGGCAGTTGAAATTCATTTGCGGCCCGGTCAATATGTTTTTCATAGTATCCTCCATAGCATATATCCTTCTTCTAAAAAACAACCCCAGTTGTACGTGTAGGAGTAGGATCGCCTGTCCAGCCTCGTGGGTTTTCTCCGGGTCGTCCGGTTTCCTCCCACTGCGTGTGACAATATCTGATCAGTTGTAGTGGAAGGTCGTGTCAGGTGTCATACGAGCGGATTTTGACCTTATGACGTCAGACATTTATTAATCAATCAGCGTTGTCGTTTCTAGTGGTATACCCAAACTTCCGTGCACCTCACTCCAAAAAAATCGCCGTAACAGACCGTTTCATTGACTATTCCCTGACATCATCCAGATCGGGTTATATAAAAACTCTTTCTTCCAGATCCTAGTGTAGTAAAGACAAGTAAAACGAAATTTTGAACTATAAGAAACGAAACGAAATGTTTTAATCAAATTGTGTGATTGCATGCGGCTAAGCGTGGGTGTTTTATAGAATAAAATTTATCTTTATCTTTTATCATTGAACCCGTTATTCCAGAAAAGTTTGAGGCTTAATTCCATTTCATTCATTCATATTATTGGTTGTATTAAATGACAAGACTTCTAATGCTTTCTTTATTATTTTTTTATTAGATAAACATCTTCCATTCATTTATTTGTAGGTTTTTACCTGACAGGATGGGTCCCAACCCTCCCTGTTTTATGCCCTTTGGATTGGGTCCCAGAAACTGCATTGGTATGAGGTTAGCTCTTACAGAAATGAAAGTGTCTTTAGTGTCTATTTTACGTCACTACCGGTTTGTTACGTCACCATCGACACAAGTAAGTAATTTGTGTTTTATCGACAAGCCTTGGTTTATCTTTACGGACTTACTCAATAAAGGTACAGTGACCATAACATCCTGTATAAATTGAGATAGTCAGATGTGGGGAAACTTTCCAGTGATTTCCACAAAGAAGTTAAACATTTTTGGCCAATATCGTTTTCCAAATAATGTCTCTATTTTGAACAGCGGTTGTAAATTTTATTATGCCACCCAGTTCTGCTTCACTCCCGTCCGCTACGTTAGCCTTGATAAAGATGGGTCAAATTGTCGATTGGGACTGTAGATTTTTGATTGGGTTCTGATCGGAAGTATGCTTACGTCATGAGATACTGTTTTTATCTGCGCACACCGGGACATTCTTGTCGCAAGCCCAGTAACGATGGCCACTGACCAAAATAAAGCAATGAGGTTGAACTCCTTTGAGATGAAGTCAGTTTTATTGTGGTTTTGGACGTGGACTGTCAACTGTTGAACACATAATCGGTTGTAGCTCAACGTCCGTTCGATCTTTAAAAATGAAATGACATTACTTGTTTTTTTTTTTTTTACAGATACCACTTGTTCTAGCCAAGAATGAAGTTATGCTCCAATCAGAAAAGGGCATATGGCTGAAAATAGAGGCTCGATAAATGTATTCTCTCAGTTTAAACCAATCATACAGTTATAATAGCAGTGACGTGTCTCAGTTTAATCCAATCATAAAATTACAGTTGCAGTGACGTGACTCAGTTTAATCCAATCATAGATGCAATAGCAGTGACGTGTCTCGGTTTAAACCAATCATAAAGTAACAGTAGAATTGAAGTGTCTCGGTTTAAACCAATCATAAGTTACAGCATGAGACAAAAGTAATGTGACGTGTCTCTGTATAATGATAATTCTCAATTTGTATAGCGCAAAAATACGTAATAGCAGTTTCCATGACAACAGGCCCGAGTTCACAAAGCATTCTCAGATTTAAGTTGAGAATTTACTCAAAATTGTTTACCTTGATTTAACTAAAATGTAACCCGTTATAAAACTTTTGTTGTTTTAATGTATCAAATACATCAATAAGAAACTGTGTGCAAAGTTTTGTGTTTCTGGATCAAAGATATTTCTCATAAACAGTGATTGGAAGTTGAGTATATTCTCAACATAAGTCTGAGAATGCTTTGTGAACTCCGGGCCAGCTTTAACAACGTCATTAAAGCTTCTTGGTGTGAACCAACATGACTAATTGTATTTAATATAAACAATATTTATTAGAACGTCTCATTATGACCTAATAAGGTTAATTGTACAATGTGTATGATATCTATAGTTATTAGAACAAAATATCTCCGTATGACCCAGCATGACTCGTATTGTATTTATGATATAACACGTATCAGAGATAGTGTAAATTATATCTAGAGTTTGGGCATATATGGCGGAAGATGCTTACTTTTTATAATCATATAATTCTTTGTATTTTTTATTGTTATTTATGTGATTTTTTTGGGGGGGGGGGGGCTGGCTTCGCTTTGGTTTGCTTTGCTGGCGAGGGTGTGTGTGGGTGTGTGGGTGTGTGTGTGTGTGTGTGTGGGGGGGGGGGGGCTCTTTGGTATGAAAGTTGATAATGTTAAATGAATTTGTATGAGGTTATCTGTATCGAACACTGGTCTGACACTGGTCTGGATGGAACTGGGGGAATCCGTATTGAATAGTGGTCGGGGTGGAACTGGAGGCATCCGTACTGAATAGTGGTCTGGTGTGGGACTGTGGCACTGTGGGTTACTCTACTGAATACTAGACTGGGGGTATCTATACCGAATACTGGTCAGGGGTGGGACTGGGGGTATCTATACCGAATACTGGTCTGGGGTGCGACTGGGGGTATCAGTACCGAATAAAATAACTGACAAGCTTGGAGCCAAAAAAGGAGGATGTGTTTCGTCATTCCTTTGGCTGACCGAGGACAGTCCGAGTCGCAAAAAGGTAAAATATGAACAAGTTTTCAAAGGACTATAACGCCAAACATTGCCGTTTAATTTTAGTGAGAGCTCATATTAAAATATTCACAATGGCAACCCACTATCCTGTTCGTGATTAAATCAAACAGACTATTTTAAAAACACCATAAAAGGACAGATCTGTTAAGAAGAGTCCCGTCTTGTCCTCACGAACCCACCAAACAAGTTGATTTGAATAAATCTAAATAAACACAATTCCATAAAAAATTCTAAATTTTGCTTAAGTTTATCGGGGGTTTCAGAAGAAGATCAAGTCAACATTGTCGCACTTTTCCCTTCATGTTGTCCCTCTTCATGGTGTCCCTCTTCATGGTGCCCCCTGATGACATAAATGATTTTGGTCGATTGGCTAAAAAAACCCACAACTACCCAGATGTGAATGTTTTATTCTTTATTGCTAGGACAAACCGTGCTGTCCTTACCATCCGAGACTACTTTTGCCATTTTTATCAAGCCAGTGTTATAACCACCGTGATAGTACACGTCTGGTTCTAGCCCTTTGTTAGCACGAGCCTGTAATAAAATAAAAACACATTTACATATGAAATCAAATAAGGAAATAAAGGATTGGGGTGGGACACCCTATTGTTATGGTACATTTTATCTATACTAATATTTATGACTGTCGTTTGTTTTTGTTTTGTTTTTTCTCTCGTCTGTCTGTTCGGGGTTGGCGGCTATACTAGGGCTTAGACTGGACAACCTGCTCTAAATGACGTCAGGCTGGTTCCTACCTCACTGCGCTATTCTGACTTCAATATATCTATGCAAGTCAGAAAAGGAGTGACGTAGGAGCGAGTCTGACGTATTAGAGCAGGTTATCCAGTCTACACTAGGACTGTCCCCAGGCTGAAATTTGTTGGACTACCACTTCCGTTTCGGGAGTTATGCTACTTCCGATTCATGGCTATACCCGTGCTACGCCGGGTCAACCGCTAGTATAGTCATGATTCTCTAGTGTGAGAGAGATGGGTTTAGCGTCCACTCGACACAAACTAGGTCATTTCGGGACCAAAATATGACTCAATTTTATATTAATTCTTCGCTTGCGCAGGAGGTCTTTAGCAGTGGGAGAAAACCTACAAGGTTGGACAGGCGACCCCACTCTTTGTCACACACAAGCGTTGGATCGAAACCTCGCCGATTGACTCAATGACAGACCTTACTAAAGATTTCACGCGCACGCGTTAAACCACGAGACCATTCAACATCTCTACCTTGTGGCGTGTAACTATCTGTATCTCCGTGGTGCCTTTTCGCAGAAATACAAACTTTCAGATTACATTTATCTTTGGTGATAAGTTTCCAAATTCCACGCTATCCCAAATCTGCCATTGTTGAAGAACAATAAACGGTAAGTGATACATTTCCAGCTTGACAGCTGCAATAGTGTCTGGCTAACCATGGCTATAAGCGAAAATAGTGTCTGGCTAACCATGACTATAAGCGTGTGGAGGTGTAGTTATACCTCATTCTCCATTTCTCATTCTTTGCAAGCACTGAAAGAAATTGAACCGTTTTTGGACTAAAGTTGCTTTCAGAGATTCACCTTTCACATTACTGCAACTGATTCGTTAGTCTCTCAAAATGAGGTTTAACGTCCTACTGTTCTGCACCGACTGGGCTAATAAAGACGGACATACAGCGTGCTATGTGAAAAATTGTGCACAGGCAGCGGTGCTACGGCCTACTCTTATATCGAATTCCAGCTCCCAAGGGTTCTTTTACGTGCACGCAAATGTGTAGGGGAACCACGTCGGAAAATCCAGATGAACTTTTCTCGGCCAATAAGGGAATCGAACGCAGGTTACCGAGCCAACGTCTGACTCACTGAGCCACCGCGGCTCCTGCGACTCATCGTTTTTCTGAGAATTCTGTGATATGCAATACAATACTGGCAAAAACATACGAACCATTATGAATTCTTTAGCTTTCTTAACATCCGGTATCGACATTTCTAGTTTACAACCCCAATTCACCAGTGCAAAGGGCTGGAACAAAAAGAAAGACAAAAGTATTACTATAGTAAAAACTTTGAACGTACCTTAGACGTGGAAAGTTGATAAAGAAGCCAGTAAAACAGTAAAACCATTGTACGTACCTTAGATGTAGAAAGTTTTTTGTAGGGTGTAATAAGATGGCGTCTAACACAAGAGCGGAGCAGATCGATCAGAGGTTGAAGATCCTTTTTATCAACACATGGATGGTACACCAACAATATAGCAGCATGCTAAAATATTATAAATTATATAATTATAAATTATATAATCATAAATACGAAATATTATAAATTATATAATTATAAATACGAAATATTATAAATTATATAATTATAAATACGAAATATTATAAATTATATAATTATAAATACGAAATATTAAAAATTATATAATTATAAATACGAAATATAATTTATTATAGCGTATATAATTAAAAATACTATATATTATAAATTATATAATTATAAATACGAAATATTATAAATTATATAATTATAAATAGGAAATATTATGAATTATATAATCATAAATACAAAATATAAATTATTATAGCGTATATAATCATAAATATATATAAATTATATAATTATAAATACAAAATATTATAAATTATATAATTATAAATACGAAATATTAAAAATTATATAATCATAAATACGAAATATAATTATTATAGCGTATATAATTATAAATACGATATATTATAAATCATATAATTATAAATACGAAATATTATACAGTATATAATTACAAATACGATGTGTCTAGGATAACTACAGTTGTCCCGCTGGCAATTGTCCTGCTCCCAAATACGATATATGATAAATTATATAATAATAAATACGAAATATTATAAATTATATAATAAAAAATAAGAAATATTATAAATTATAAATAAGAAATGAAGCTAAATTTGAATTCAAGTCTGGCCATTTATACATTTTGAATTTACCCTCACTACCCTGGTGAGTGTCGGATTGATATGATCTTAGAATATGCAGTTCTTTATCCAAGTTACAGTTTCAAATTATGATCAGCAAACAACGAACGACAAGGCAACTTCAGTCGTCTTGGATATACATAATATAAAATAATTTCTCCTTACCTCGAGTCCATGTAACCATCTTTGAGGAGGTAGGTAACGATAAGTCCCAAATGTTGGCCATACTGGACGATGAGAACCACTGTAAGATAAAAATAATCGGTCATATTTTGGTTCTTTATATCATATTATATTGTATAGTCCCATTGGAACGAAATTCATAATGGCTTCAGGTAACTACTTGCTCCAGAAAAGTCTAATCTAAGGGATCATATTTGGCAATGTCGAATAGTAACCTTTTGGGTATTAAACGAGATTATAATACCGGGAATCCTCGTATTTAAGCCCTGCCGTTATTAAGCCCATGGGCTTTATAACGAGTTTAAATTTCGAATTGAAGCCTATGGACTTATATTCAAAATTTATTTTAGAGTGGTACTGATGATTGTAAGATCTGATTTGTCCAAAGAACTTTGAAATTTAAAGTTTATGAACAGTTTCTTTTTGTATTTCAGAACATTTATGTGACGATGTACACCATTAGTGTTTTAAAAAACCCATTTTTGTTCATGAATTTGATTCGTTCCATTTAAAATTATAAAAATAACCCAAATGTTTGTCATTTTTTCCTCTTTTCGAATTTAAGAAGAAATGTTTCACCACTAACATGGTCAAATTCGAAATTAAGCCCAGGGCTTAAATACGAGAATTCCCGGTACCTAATAAAGAGTATCACTCTTGATTTATTTGAAAATCTTCCTCTTATTCTTGAGCAGAACAGTAGGACGTTTTATTTCTTATTTTGATACACAATTTGAAGATTGAATGACTCTTGGTGGCAGAGTAATTAAGGCGCTAGCTCACTAATCAAGAAGTCACGGATTCGATCTCTATGGTGACGGAGATAGTTCCTCGGGAGGTTCCGGTCTGCGTTCCCCTTGTCATTGGTGCATGACGGGAACTTGGCAAGGATGGGGCGCAAAAGAATCCTTGGCAATCATTATCATTGATTGGTCCGCTTGGCGCAGAAGGGACGTCCGGGGGCTTTCGTCAAAAATTGTTGAAAATCTATAGAATTCTGCCCATACATGTATATTGCTTGACATCTATGCCAATTTGAGAAAGGTCGAACGATTGTTGTTGCTTGTAAGATATTGTAACAAAGGGACACAACTCAACACGTTATCACCAGAATTCGTTGACAATCAGTAGCCTTCTATTGTCTAAGTAGACAGACATATAGTACAGGATTTAGGGACTAGCCCACCCCGCACACAGCACGTTTGTATTTATGGGCTTTGCCTTGAATTATCCTTTAACATAGATGACAGATAATATTATATCGCGAGGGCCTGGCAGGGACAGCTGTCTAGTCGTTTGGGTGGCACGAAAAAGCTGAGGTCTCGTGTACACATTGGCGTGCACGTAAACGATCCCTTGACAGTTGGATTCGATATAAGAGTAAGCCGTAGTGCCGCTGTCCGGGTAAAGTTTCCCACATAGCACAATGAATGGCATATGCCCGTCTTCATTGACCCAGTTCGGAGCAGAACAGTAGGGCGTTAAACCCATTTCATTTCATTTCATAATATTATATCTTAATGACACATGTGTATTATAATTTACCTTATTGGTAAGTATTCATGGTACGTTATCCTGTCTTTTATACAGATGTGTAATGGCTGCCAAAAGAAAACAAAAACTCAGAAAACATCTCTCACCCTGCTCAGCTACATAAAAAAAATAGTAAAACGACACTTTATGAGAAAAGTGTAACGGTCGTGTGCTTTATCCTTTATTATCCGATGCTGGGATGGGATGGGCATCCAAAGCGTGAAATAATGATATAGACATGTGTGACATCACAATTAATGCTTTGCATCAATGAAATTGAATCACAATGTGATCCTATTAATTCTTTATAAAAAATGAGGTGTTGGATTTCTCTTTTTAAAAAGTTCAATGTGTATGTATGCCTACGTAATTTAGAGACGTTGATGGCATCTTGCATGGCATCATGCATTGTCAACTGTCAAATTTTCTTAACTGGAGCCTGGCCAACCCGCTCCTGCACAAATTCTTGGATCCGTCCCTGTTCAGTATTGGTACATACATTCATTCCATACATATACATGTACATACATTTCGTAACGGTACATACATTTCGCATCGGTACATACATTTCGTACATAGTAACTATATTCATACACTTACTGATTTAGGTCTTTTTTCACAGACCATTTTAGGTTCATATTTTGCCTGAAAGAAAGTTAAACATGCATTATGCAAGAGCTAATTCTGCCTATTGCAGGTCTTTCTTTGAGCCTGAAATGTTATCTTACTTTTAATTGGACATTAATGAACTTAATCCAGACAACAATAAACTCGTGATGCCATCGTTTGCCCACGATATTTAGGGGATTAGGATCCCATCTGCTGCTCAACGCTCATTAATGATTAAATCAAGAACTGGCTAATCGAGACTATGTTGGGTTTTTTTTATCGTACCTACTTTAGTAATGATGATCGAGATTAGGCCCAAAATTCAATTTATAGTGATAACTGTCAGCTCTTTATCTAATCTCTCATAATGTATCTTTAATACATATAATTTTCATGACAAGGACAGCTGTCTAGTTGTTCGGATGGTACAAAAAACCGAGGCCCCGTGTACACATTGGCGTGCACGTAACAGATCCCTTGACATTTCCCTCATAGCACACTGTATAGCGTATGCGCGTCTTCATTAGCCCCGTTCGGAACAGAACAGTAGGACGTTAAACCCCATTTCATTTCCTTTCATTTACATAATACACCCCACGTTCCTCCTGGACCCGATACAATTACATTCTGTTTCAAAGCGATAATGTGAAAGCCTTCTTTTAACTCTGTTAGTTCACGCGTATTATAATCTACGTGTGACGTCAAATCATACGGCCTCGATAGAACGTGTGTTATTTACATCGGGCGTAGTAACAAAAAGTAATCCGGGCATAATTTGTGCCTTTAGCTCATTTTACGCATTTGCGTACTATTTTATATACCCATATACACTAAATAGGAAATATTTACAGACTTCCAACAGCTTTATTGTTTTCTTAATAACTTAAACAAATGTTTTAGAATTTGATTATGCAGAAGAAATAAGTTAATTAGCCCGCACTGAACACAGAGAGCAATCAACTTCGAGAATAGATCTCTGACCTGAATCGCCGCCATATCCAAACTTAGTAGACTATGTTGTTATACTATGTTCACATCTGTTATAAACACAAAGATTAAATAAACATTTTCAATTTATTAAATGGAAGCTGAATAAATACACCTCAATATTATCGACGTATACTTAATGCTATCGATTTAGGACTTAAAATGTCGGTCAACTAGCTTAATGTCTGTTCTCAAGCATAGCTAACTGTAGACAGACAGCCTACGTTTCGTATGTCTCAGTGACTGTAGCGGCTAGCGAATATTACTGCTGATCAGATTGACAATAGACATACATACGTCATTATATTCCCACCAATAGTCCCGATTATCAAAACGTATATATACTAACATCTTTTTTTAATACCACTCCAGGATCACAGGTATATTCAGCACTCGACTTAGGGTCCCAGTCTACTTCAACATTAGTCTGTAAGGTAAAACATTAGTTCAATAATCAGTCTGTATGGCGGCTGTTACACCTATTTTGTGAAGGCGACAAAATCAACCTGACAACGCGACAAAAAAACACCCCAAAACACCCAAAAAACACGTGCCGCGACTTGTCGCCTTCACTACCCGACAAGTCGAGAATGTAGAATGGCCGCTAACAGCCACCCTAAGTACGTATTAGCGTGGAATACGCCGTGAGAATTGGTTATTTCCCCCCCCAAAATGCAAATCTCACACAGTTACTTTAAAGATAATAACCGTATTTTTGTTATTTTGGTATTCATTGTAACCAAGTCACAAATAACCCACGGTTTGTCGTCACACGGGCACGTTCGCAGATTATTTAAATATGAATACCATAAGCCTGTCATCAAGGAGTCTTTAGCAGTGTGTGTGTGCGGAGGTGGGTGGGGGGAATCGGAAGCACTTAGTCTACAAGCTGGGAATCGAAACCACGCCGCTTGATTCAATGACAGACCTCATGATCTAAAGCCCACCCGTTAAACCATTCAACCACCCAACCCCTCGTTTATCATAGAATCCAAAAACTAATATAACCTACTTTTCCGTCATCACAGCCCTCACTGGGTCCCATGGGAATACCACCATGATCCCTATTCATATCTTCATCCATGTTGTCGTCACGATCATTAGGACTGTCATCCAAGGCCCAGCTATCAAAATAGCGACTGTCCACACCGTCATCATCTAAGGCCCGGCTATCAAAATTGCGACTGTCCACACCGTCGTCATCCACATCATCGAGATACCGACGATAAGGATATACGTTCCTTGTGTCCCTGTATATTTCACTGTCACATGGCGTCCACAGTACAATGGCGGCTATATATAATAACAGTAGCATTCCTGGAATGGAAAAATACCCAGTTATGTCTCCATGTGGGATATTCAGACGGTCGGTGTATATATACAATGCCAAATGGGTCATCAAAAGTCTTGATGATCCTATCTCTTACACTGGAAGACATTATCGATCAACAGACTTGACTCATGATTATCAAGCCTGCAAGATGGAAGAGTTCACAACACATTTCTCACCATTTCCAAGAAACCGATACTTTTAAGGGGTAATTTTAAGTGATCTGACCCCATGGAGGGAGTCAACAGGATAAGGCCCCCTTTTCCTTTCTATTATTATTCCGAAAATCCGAATGTATCCAGAACCAGCTTATTAGCACAAATACGCATTCGCCTCTTGACTTTCTGCGACATCCTTTTTTTACGTCACAATTTATTAAAATGTACATTTTATATTTGGCACAGAACTATGCTAGCGAGAAAAATATTGTGTGTCAAATCTGAGGGATTTTCAGAATGAAAGCATTGAACAATCGTTTAGAAATATTTTCAGACATAACCTACAAGGCGATGGGTTTTCGGTTTTACCATTTTTCAAAATGTTCTTTCTATACTGCTGGGAAAAGAGACCTCCCCCCCTCACTCTCCGCCATGAAACACCCCGCATCACCCCTATAATATTTCAGCCACATTGTTGAGAGAGAGAGAGAGAGAATGGGTTTAACGTCCACTCGACACAAACTAGGTCATTTCGGGACTAACATATGGTTTAATCTTATTTCAATAATTCGCTTGCGCGTAGGGGTCTTTAGCAGTGGGAGGAAACCGGAGGACGCGGAGAAAACCCACGAGGTTGGACAGGCGACCCTACCCCTTGCCACGTACAACCGGGGATTCGAAACCACGCCAGTTGCCTCAATGACAGACTTTATGATACAGCGCGCGCACGCTAACCATTCAGCCATCCAATCCCCCACCACATTGTTGAGAGTCTGTTTAAGTTATATATACCCACGTCGGGAAAGTACCCTGAGAAGCTCGGGCGTGGTTTCACGTTGTCAGTGGTGCAGGAGGGACGACCTGGCAAAGAACAGTGTCTAGTCGTTCAGAAGGGACGAAAAGTTCAAGGTTTTTGGCAGAGATGGTACACCGAGATTTTCCGGCGGGGTTTCGCCTTGTTTTTGGTACAGGACGCAGGGCCTGACAAGGACAGCTGTGTAGTCGTTCAGATGGTACGAAACACCGAGGTCCCGTGTACACATTGTCGTGCACGTTAAAGATCCATTGGCAGTTAGAATTCCATATAAGATCTGGCCGTACCGCCGCTGTCCGGGCAAAATTTCCCTCATAACACACTGTATGGCGTATGTCCGTCTTCACTTGCCCAGTCGGAGGAGAGCAGTGGACCGTTAAACCCCATTTTATTTAATTTCAGTTGTTCGGGCAAGTTCCACTCACAGCACATTACACGAGGCATGTCCGTCTTCATTATCTCGGTTACCACAGAAAATTGGGATGTAAAATCCCATTTCATTTCAGCCATTCATAAAAAGAATGACATAGTTAAACGAGCCCAATACAAAATTTCAGCCATTCATAATACGAATGAAATACTAGTAGTTAAACGAGCCAGATACCAGGCCCGTAGCTAGCGGGGGGGGGGGCGTGGATCAAGAGGGCAACTGCCCCCCACCCCCAAGAAAAGTTCGGCGCTCTTTGGCCATTGGGGAAAATCGGCTCCCCCAATGGGCGCTGAAGGAGCCCTTTCCATTGGACGCAATATGAAGCCAACGACCAACTTGCCCATATCAGTGCGGGCGCTACATAAAGCCGAGTGACATTGGTTGGGAGCCCACGACGAGTTTGGCGGGGCGCCCAACCAATGTCATTTGATTTTATGGGCGCCTCGCAATCATGTTGTGATATATGAGGAGCCCCCCCCCCCCCTTCCCCCACTCAATAATGAGGCGCCTCATAATGACTCACACGATTAACGTCCACTCGACACAAACCAGGTCATTTCGGGACTAACATATGGTTCAATTTCATTTCAATAATTCGCTTGCGCGTAGGGGTCTTTAGCAGTGGGAGGAAACCACGTACAACTCGGGAATCGAAACCACGCCAGTTGACTCAATGACAGACTGTATGATACAACATGCATGCGCTAACCATTCGGCCATCCCCCCCCCCCCTACTCTAGAAAGCACCATTAGTAGTCAGTTTTTCAAAACGAAATTCTCGCGCTAGTGCATGGGTTGGGTGGGAGGAGGTGGTTTCCCTGGTTCGGCCCGGGCCCGGAGTCTTCTTTTACAGTCCGTCCATGGATCTTAAATCTGGGACAAAAAGCTACCACGGACTAAATAAAACGTGTGTTTCTTTAATAGAATACAATAACTGATTCATGACGCCAAACAATCGATAAAGTTTCTTCCGGTAATGGGTCATATTGACCTCGACTATTACTTAATAAGAGTGAATTATACTTCCTTATATGACGGAGTCTACACACTAGTACAGCAAGCCAAAGTCAATAAAATTTCGCACCATTGTACTGATTTTCTTCCTGGGGAGTTATTAATATGATCTTTAAAATTAATTAGAACTGAAATTCAATATTAACACACGACCCGACAGCAACCATCTGAACCAAACATATGGTTATGTTATTTGTAGATTGTAGTCTACATTGTGTTGGATATCGTTTGTAGGTATAGAGTGGGTAGGACAGAGTGGAGTAGGATGGGGTTGGGTGATTTGGGGCGGGTGGATTCCCATTTTATATCAACTTGACGCCCATCTTACTTGTCTGCGAAATCACTCAAATGGGAAGCGGACATACAACGCCGCGAACGAACGAACCGTTCTTCCTGAACAACTAACGAGTGGAAAGCACTTAGGAAAATTCTGGGGAACTTTCTGACAATAAGAGGACCTCCAGGCTAATGAGCCAGCGTTTTTCTCTCTAGAACATCGTGTTCCAACTTTCTTAGGACAGTTTGAGAAAAATTGGATATATTTTCTATTTGGAAGCAAGTGGTATATCCGACCAAGTCACCCTTCGTCTGTCTACCAATAACCCTGGGCCGGATTTTTCGAGTAGTAAACCCGACCAAGTCAGCCTTCGTCTGTCTACCAATAACTCTAGGCCGGATTATTCGAGTAATAAACCCGACCAAGACAGCCCAAAACCCTGGACCGTATTACTCGAGTAGTAAACCCGATCAAGTCAGCCTTCGTCTGTCTACCAATAACCCTGGGCCGGATTATTCGAGTAGTAAACCCGACCAAGTCAGCCTTCGTCTGTCTACCAATAACTCTAGGCCGGATTATTCGAGTAATAAACCCGACCAAGACAGCCCAAAACCCTGGACCGTATTACTCGAGTAGTAAACCCGATCAAGTCAGCCTTCGTCTGTCTACCAATAACACTAGGCTGGATTACTCGAGCAGTAAGTGTTCTGAATCACGACCCAGTTCTAAAGAAATGAAATGAAATGAAATGGGGTTTAACGTCCTACTGTTCTGCTCCTAACCTGGGCTAATGAAGACGGGCATACGCCATACAGTGTGCTATGAGTGAAATTTTGCCCGGGTAGCGGCACTATCGCCTACTCTTATATCGAATTCCAACTGCCAAGGGATCTTTTAGGTGCATGCCAATGTGTACACGGGACCTCTGTTTTCCGTCCCATCCGAACGACTAGACAGCTGTCCTTGTCAGGCCCTCCATCCTGCATCACTGTTACTTAGAGTTCTAAAGGTACCCTCGATTGCCGCAGTTCTGCCCCCCCCCCCCACAATAGAAACAAACATCAAGTTTATTTAAGTCACAAAACGACCAAAGTATTGTCTTGACAAGACGTTAAAATCTCTTTGCATTTATGTAACGTACATCTTGACTTATGGAATATTCTTGAAGCAACATATTCCTGAAGCAATGGCCCAAGAGATCCCTCGAATCAAACGAAACACTGCGAGGAGTATGGGAATAGAACTACATTCGTTCAAGATTTCTCTCATAGTACGCTAGGGAGGTATGGTAGCTGTATGGTTAAGGCGTGTGCGTTTGATCATGTGGTCTGTCATTGAATCTAGTGGCGTGATTTCGATTCTCCGCTTGTACGTGACAGAGAGTAGGTTCGCTTGTCCAACCTCGTGGGTTTTTCCCCTGGTTCCACCCACGGCTAAAGACCCGAAGTATTGAAATAAAATTGAACCATATGTTAGTCTCGAAATGACCTAGTTTGTGTCGAGTGGGTGTTAAACCCCATCTCTCTCTCTCTCTCTCTCTCTCTCTCTCTCTCTCTCTAATTGCACACAGCACGGCATATGTCCGTCTTCATTAGCCCGATTAGATTAGAAACGTAGGACGTTAAACCCCATTCATTAATTTATTCATTCGTGTAACGTTTTTACCATTTATGTTATAACCACCAAGTAAAAAAATTCGATGGACACATATGCCCGATTCTGTGTACCGACCGTCTAGATACATTCATTGCCATTTCAATCATACGGTCTGGTTGAGGCTAACATATGGTGGTTTTTCTATGCCACTAATCCTCTCGGATTTATCAGAGTAGGAAAGTTCCAGTCGTGCTGATAGATACTATTATTCCATAAGTGTCTCTCCAACATGAAACGCAATTTCACCCGGAGTTGTTTATAGCGACCAGTCAATTTCCTATAACCACAACATACACACCGAGATCATTATTAATGAAACTGATGAACCCGTTGGAAGCTGACATGTCATCTACTTACCTAAAGTATCTATAGGCCACAATATCGTAAAAACTATAACGTATTTCTGGTTTACTACACGACCTAATAGACGATACGTTGTCTACTCTCTGTGCTGTAACCTATGGGAGATAATTTAGACGATACCACAGATTCACTACACTATACTAGATTATTCTAATGCATTGATATAATTATTAAAGACACGGTTCTACCATCTATTGGAGTGGTTGCCTAATAGAGTAGAGAAAAGAGGAATGACCAAAGCAATGCGTATCTGTCTACAACTGGGTGGCAGGGGCGGATCAAGCTCGCATGTGGCCCTTGACTGAAAATGTCACTTTGGTATCGTCACACTCACTGCAGGTAGATAATGCCCCCATCACAAATAAAGCTGAGGAACCAGTCCCGTAAGTGTGTGTGTGGGGGTGGGGGGCAGGGGTGCGACCCCCGCCCTGCAAAAAAGTTTCGCCCCCCCCCCCCACTGTGAAACAATTGTCGACAATAAAATAAATAAAAAAACCAATAGATATATATCATCCGACACTTTTACAGCACCCCTCAGAACACTCCCAGCCCCCTTCGTTGCTCTGAGTTAGTTACGGACCTGTGATGTGCCTCCGAAACCCAGCAGAAAGATTTACGCTACAGGCTATTGCATCGGGTCAATAGCTGAAACCAATAGATTGCATAAAGTTCGTAATTTTTGACTATGATGATTTAAACTGTAAGATTTACCAAGTTGATATTTATACGTTTATATCTCACGGTACTTATATAAGTATTATACATTTATATCTCACGGTACTTATATAAGTATTGTACGTTTATTGTAGCACCATGGGTCGTTTGTCAGACGTGGAGAACGGTCAGCGCTAAACCCGGTCGCAACATCCGACGTATAACCCATGCATCGTTTCTTACTACATATTCTGGAACAGCCCATGATCGTCTAATATTGTCTCTGGCCGCATTTGTTTCTTATTTTCTTCTTGTAGGACTCCACTTTAAATATTGTGTATTTATTCTGCCATTCAGTTTATGGTTACACATAGTAACAACAATACCACATTTCGTTTCTACATTTTATATTAAGCACTGCTACAAATAGGTTACAAAGTTACAAGCATAATAAAGTCATTCTTTCTAATCCGCTCTCATGCAGACTCGGCGAGTCCGCTGATGGAGATTCCTACATCTTCTCCCTACGAGAACTACATGGCTGTCTCCCCTAGAGCGCACATTCTATTAATTATATATTCTCAGATTCACACCCATTAATTATTCTATTGGCTAATTATTATGTAATTAATCATGTGATTGGTCACTCTTGCCAAATATGAAATGGTAACTTTCCTACCACGTGTATTTCAAACAATAACAATTTATCCTTGAAAAATGCAAATGACCATCATGTTTACTAAACTCTAACTGCGTTAACGTATCTAAACAACCAGCATACTTTCTCTATTTTTGGTTATGAAGTTAGAATCAATAATTTGAAAGATAACGCTATTGTTCTAACCATCATATTTCTACATTCTTGTCTTTAGACCCCATGTCTTGTTATTGTCACACTATTCATAAACATTTTTAATTTGCGTTTCAGAATTAACTTATACCATAGATAATATTTTGCCAATGGAGAATAATTATTCAAAACTCTAATATTATTTTGCATAGATGTTTCAAAGCATAAATTCTTTCCCTCCATATTACTACATTATATCTCACGGTACCTATATAAGTATTGTACGTTTATATCTCACGGTACCTGTAAAAACATTCTAAAGAGTGAAAACTGACATATTTCAAGCTTTACTGTATTTAAAGAAATAATTTAAATCAGCCGGCTGAAACCCCGTCTCCGCTATTTGTTCAATCATTCTTTAGGTATAGTGCCAGTTTCCAAAGACAATGATATCGCAAACAAGTGTCCAATCTATAAAAGCATACATTCTTACAAAATGTTTCTTTAGTCAAGTGAAACAATAAATTCATAACTATGCGAGGGTTGGGTAGTAAATTCGTGGTAACAAGTCTGAATAGGCTAATCGGACAATAGAGCAAGTTCACCTTGATGTTGACAAATACGTAAGACGATATGAACATCAACTAAAAAGATATGTAATGTGATTCAGCTGCAAGGTGATATATGCATATATGCAGCATAGATAATTATAACTTCTATTCAAGTTAAACCAACTGTATCTATTTATTTAAGTCTTACGTTGAACTGAATACATTTTATGATTTATTGTCATCTATTGGTGGTTAACAGTGTGTAATTAAAAACTAAAATTGGATCTTATTATTGCCAATGATATAATGTACCTTGAATTTTTTTATCACGAAGTCTATCGCATCCAAATATTTAATGCGCGTTTATAATATATTCATTTTTTTGTTATTTCAGGATTGATATATCGTAAAATTCATCTTCATTTGACGAACTACACCCAAACTAGTCAGTGTAAACACGGTTTGGAGACTGTATCTGAACTACAGGGTAGATCGAACTACAGTGTGCATCATGCTTTAGAGACACTATCTAATATCCAACAGGAAAAATGACGATTAATTTAATATCCGCCAGTTTGTGTTGCTGCTATTTTATATTTTCAAAATTTATCTTCAAAATCAGAGACATCGAAAACCATATAAAGGACATAGCAAAAGTCATATCTTACGTATCTTAAGAGATGCCCTTTAGTCTACCAAATTTATGGTTTTTTTTGTTAAATTGCCTTATATTACCAAATTCGGCAGCCATTTTAAAAGAAATGTCCGGCACCACATGGAAAATACATTTCTTTAATTGATGTTTGTCAAATTCGATTTCCGCACATTTCGCGTACATAACCACGATATAATGGTCGAACATTACGTACATCAGATAAACTACTTTTAAAGCCCAAAACTGTTCAACTGGTCTCTCTTAGTTATCAAGCACCTGTTTTATGGGATAATCTACCATTTAGTTTAAGATGTTGTACATCTCTATATTCTTTTAAAAAACAACTTAAATCACATTTATTTAATGAGGCTTTTAACTGACTCTGTATACAATTGTTAACATGTCCATAATCTTGTTGTTTATTTATGATTACATTGTCACTTTGTAAAGTGCCCCTGAACATGTTTTATGAAAGGGCGCGCGCTATAAATATGCTGTAATAATAATAATAATAATAATATTACCAAATTTGGCGGCCATTATGAAAGAAACGCCCGGCACCAAATAAAAAATACTTCTTTTTTTTTAATTGATGTTTGTCAAATTCGATTTTTCGGCACATTTCGCTTGCATAACCACTCTGTGTTTGAGGAATTTAAAAAGAAATCATTTATAATCCAACGAGTAAATAGTAAAACACACTGATTACGAGATATCGCTCTCAGAAAATTCCCCGATTTTGGGTATGATTTTGTTTGATATATTTATCACTGAACCAAACTGCATTGGTTTCTTTTGCATTTTTTTTTAGGGTAAAACGTTATATTATCCCTCAACGCCTAATACTGCAAGAAAAAGACAAATTTTGGTATGTAAACCTGTATGAAGCCATGACGTCATAGCTTTTATGGCGTCATAATTGGGACCCAAAATGGCGCCTGGAAATGAGTTGTCGTAACTTTCCCCACAGTCTACTCGCTCATGTGCTGATCGTTGTATACCAACTATCGTTGAAAAAATAAATTTACGTCGATTTTTGAACATTTTAAAAGCCGTAGATAGAAAAGATATAAATAAACACCAAAAACATGGAAATCAATCAAGTTGAAGCGTTTTGGCGTAAAACACCTGTTTCGGCGAGATGACGTCATTGTGACGTCACACTGTCGTAGTGACGTCATGCACGACCATTGAAATCATTGTTTTTTGTGTGTGCTTGTCCTGTATTCTCCCCAAAACGTAACTGATGATCTTGTATTAGAGAATTCCCTAATGACTGTATTCCAAAAACGGCAAAAAAACCCCCAAAATGACGGACATCGATGACGTCATCAGCCGCTACGACGTCATGACGTCATCAATTACCTCGACCAACCATGCAATGTGAAGAAGATGTCAATATGGTTATGTGTAAGAATATTCAGTTCAATATATTCACGGTGTCTGATTTTATCCATACTTCAATTTTAGTGAGTTAATTCTGCAACGTTTTTAGAAAAAAATTGCTATTTATTTGGCCAGTGCTGTAGGTTATTTTGCTCACAGAGAATCGGGTGTGTAATCATCAGAAACAGATGTAAACTTTAAATGATCATGGGTATTTGGATAATTGCTTGGTGTGGTTCTAGACTCATATAAATGCCATCAAACTGGCCATTTGGTTCAATGTGAAACTTGGTGATGCATGTAATTTGTGTTTGAAAGAGGAGTAGGCAATAATGCTGCCTGACTAAAATACCCCCCACCCCTCTTGCATTCGCATGTAGCCATACATATGAGTCTCAAATTAATATATATTGTTAAATTATGCTCTTTTCAACTCCCCCGCCCCCTGCTCAATGAGTTATTTTACTTTTATTCTGCCATCTAAATAACTCTATACCCATGACTGGTGTACCAAGTTAAATCCACATCAAAACCTCATTTGTCGATAAGTGTATTTATAATCATCACTTTATATTTTTCAGAGACTTGAACATCCTTGGAGAATTATATCTATTTAGAGAACATTAATACCAAAGAAAGAAAACAACTCTAAATTCTGAATATAAAGTCATCAAATTCTTTTACAGATCTTATTGTGGAAACCCAAAAGTTATGTCACCATTGCCTTTTTAATCACATTTTTGTTTTTAATGTCAATTACCAAACCATCTCTAATATTGTTTCATTTTTTAGACTACAGTGTAATCCTAAACACTAAAGATTTGGCCTGAAAACTTAAAAATAATAAAAAGGGATCATCAATAATTAAAGTAGCTAAGTCTCTAACTCAATATCATCCAAAATCTTCAACATTGAAAACACAAATTATTTGTCAATTTAAATCAACATTGATGCTGTGATCTTATCGGAAAAAGATGGGCTTCTGATATCCAATATTTGAGACAAAATAAACATTTTACCAATCGTGTACCATAATGCGTTTCAGCCCCAGTTCTAGCAAGAGACTCGAGGAACGAGGCTAGACATATTGCACCAAACCAAACGGCGTATGTAGACTGGAAATACCAGGCGCTATGAATTTGCATTCGATTGAGACTGCTGGATTATTTCGCGGAACATAACTGATTTGAAATTGGAGTAAAAACGGAAACCATTGAATGTATATCAGTTTATATACATTCATATTACAGTATTTTATGAGTTGCGACCCACTTGGGTCAATTTCTAGGTCCCAAATGTTAGCGATTTAGATCCTTTAATAGTAACATTCGATAATTATAAAAATGTATTATTGTAGGATGAAATCAACCTTTATTTTGAAACATTTAGTGAACATTTCGAATGTTAATGCCTCTTTTACTTTTATATGAAATGGTTTTATTAATTAATCAATTTTTGTTTTACAAATTTTTAATTTTCTCCATTTTATTTGACTTTTATGCTATATTTATTTTATCTATCTATAATTATTTGCCTGTGCTTTATCAATTAGTTCCCATTTATATACTGTAGAAAATTTTGAATTCCTAATCTGTTAAAGGGACTATTTTTTCTTAAAAGTATTTCAATTTAGTGCATTATTAATGTCTTTAGTGCTTGGTTTGGTTGATATTAAATTTAATTATATTTAAAATGTATGTTTTGGGACCATGAGGTAGGGATATTGTGAACATATATATTACATGCTCAGTTCTTTTTAAGGTTAATTGTAAAAAAAAAATAAATAGCTTTTTTTTAAGGGGGGGGGGGATATTGTTATTATTGAACACAATTTTATTAGTATTGGAATTAACTTTGTTGATTAATATTCAAAATGTCTCGGTGCTTTATTTTTCAATTTAAATAGCTACTTTTTATTTAATAATTGGGAATGGGGGGGGGGGATTTTTTCATTGTATAACACAATTCTAATATCATTGGAATTAACTTTGTTTCTTAACCTTCGAGATGTCTGTATTGGTATTAATTTGGCATTAATTTATTTTTTCATATTTATTGAATAAATAATAATTTAACAAACAAAATTATTATGTCATTTATCAATAATTACAGTTTAAACAGAACGAATGGAAGGGGTTGCATTCGAAAAGTTGCTATACTGGATATAAATTGGTAAAATACTTGTTATACACAAGTTTGTATGAAACAACACAGGTTTCAGAAATTTCAACACAAGTTTCAGAAATTTTAACACAAGTTTCAGAAATTTCAACACAAATAATGTGTAGATTTTCACACAAGTTTCAACACAAGTTTTGTGTTGTTTCAACATTTAACACAAGTTTTGTGTTGTTTCAACATTTAACACAAGATTGTGTTGTTAAATAGAGACACCTAACTTGTGTTGAAAATAACACAAGTTTGTGTTGTTTCAACATTTAACACAAGTTTGTGTTGTTTCAACACAAGGTTTTTTCAGAGTGTATAAGTATTGTATGTTTGTATCTCACGGTACCTATATAAGTATTATACGTTTATATCTCACGGTATTCCCCAACGTTGATAAATTCAGTAATCCTGTAGCTCGTTTTAATGTGTCCAATTACTACGATGGCTATCAAGGAAGTTATAAAATAATGTATTAATTATTACAATTAACTGTGTTTTAATCATATAACCGGTTCAATGCGTTTCAATTTAAATCATCTAGACCGCTCTGGGTCAAAAAATTAAATTGCCTATCAAGGAAGTTATTATTTAATGAAAGAATTATCGCCATAAGGCGTATTTTAATCATATAACCGTAGACCTATACCATATGTTGCATTTGTTAATCTATTTCAATCTAAAACATCTAGATCGCTATGAATTGGGTCAAAAATAAAATTATCGATTTCAATGGATTTTATTTGCTAATTTATTTTAGGGATGGCAATCTGTCTTCAATGAAAATTTGACGTCTGCTGATAACCGTTTTCATTAGTCTCATTTGTGTGGAGCAGTAGGACGTTAAACTCCATTTAATTTCATTTCATATCGTATATAGAAAAAGCCAGTGTTTAGATAGTCTCATGAAATTACCATGCTGTCGAAGATGGCCTATCTTTCCATGCCAACAAATTAAGGAACTAACAGTATCGGAACATGTCCGCGATATCACCTTACAGGTGGAAAGTGACATTAATCGTTTACACCGGAAATAATAACACAATTACCTCCCTTGTTTTTTATTCTCCACCATGGAGTAACTATCCTCAAACGTTAAACTCCATTTAATTTCATTTCATATCGCAAAAAGAAAAAGCCAGTGTTTAGATAACCGATTTTAAGTCTCATGAAATTACCATGCTGTCGAAGATGGCCTATCTTTCCATGCCAATAAATTAAGGAACTAACAGTATCGGAACATGTCCGCGATATCACCTTACAGGTGGAAAGTGACATTAATCGTTCGTATCGGAGGTAAAGTTATTTGAATTAATTGATTAACGAAGCTTACCTGTACCGTGATATGTTATTAATGATGACAGGAAAGGTATACACGAGTCTATCTATATCTATGGTAACAGGTGGTGAATATAATATTATTTACTAGTTCTCTATTAAACATGCACACCATATTGATCAACCATACACATCTTCGTTTACCATTAATATAGGATAATCTTCGATACGATTAAAGTTACAATTTCATATTTTCTAAGAAAGTCAAAACATAATTATTTCTATGTCTTTTGCTCAATAGGTTGTCAACTCACTATTATACGATCATAGGTGTCATTCTCACACTTAAAACTCATTTACACTGGAAATAATAACACAATTACCTCCCTTGTTTTCTATTCTCCACCATGGAGTAACTATCCTCAAACGTTTGAATTTGAAGAGGAAAATGATATTTTTGCCAATTTCTCAACTGGCAATAGTGAATTATAGGCTTTATTTTAATACATTTTAAAAATATAACATAAAAATATGAAATTGCAACTTTAATTCAATGTGGGTGTATAATGTCACCATACTGTCCATTAACAATTGGCCATTAATGGTGATTTGGATATAGTTTTTAACGCAGTACAAATTTGGAGAGAGAGAGAGAGGTTTCGATTTCCCACTTGTACGTGACAAGGAGTAGGGTTGCCTGTCCAACCTCGTGGGTTTTCTCCGGGTCCTCCGTTCCCCCCCCCCCGCCTCCTACACAAGCGAATTCGTGAAAATATAAGTTTTCTTGCTTCTCGATGAAATAAAATATGTTATTCACTCTAAAACGACAAATATCCTCTATTTATTTATTTAATATATTATATTATATATGTAATATTTAACCAGATGTGGGTGATATGTAGATGTACGATATATATGTTATATCGATTATGGTTGAGAAACAAGACAATAATTGTATTATAACACACGCTTTACTTTTACATTCACCGCTTGATACTATGTCCAATCTGATACACTTGACAGCCTGTTATTATTGATCGGGTAATTTTGACATTTAAAAGTCAATTCCGCCAGGACAGGGGTTGATAGACTGACAGTTATTTCATTCAACTCTTAATCTTTCAGTTTTTATATTAGGCCTACTATATGTTTTAATGCTTTGAGAATTGTGAAGTAGAATTTCGGCAAGGCAGTGGTTGACAGACTGGGAACGATTCAATTCAACTCTTCAACCTATTTTGATATTACTATATTACCATGTTTTAATCTTTTGGGAACTGTGAAGTAGACTTTCGCCAGGGCAGTGGCTGACATACCGGCAGTGATTTCATTTAACTGATTTCAATATAAACTTTGATAATTGTGGTGTAGAATTTCGCCAGGGCAGTGGTTGACAGGCTTTTAGCTTGAATTCATTACAATGTCAGTCTTATGGCATACTGTAATTGCATATTGCTACGATGATCTTTACAACACTGTTCTTTTATTAGGGGCCGTAGAAATTTTTCAAGCCCGACCTTCACAGATCAGGGGACGGGCACCTGCGACACTGATAAGCGAAGCGTGCCTAATTTTTCGAAAGGGACAAACATCGACGTCCATTCGTGTACATATTGGTGTACACGTAAGAGAACCCTTGGCAGTTGGAAATTGAAGAAGAGTAAGAAATGCCGCTGCCTTTCTCGCATTACAAACGTAACTATAAAAATAAAAATTATCACACGAGTTTTTGTATCCCCCCCACCCCCGCCCACTACTCTGGAATGACTATGTTTTGAATTGAAATGGTCATTTATTTGCCTCATAATTTACATTGAATAGTAACAATACTTGACGAAATAAACAACAAAAATTTTCCATCAGGGACATGAAATAATAGTAGAACATAAAATATATTAATAATATCAAAATGGTTCCATATAATTACAATTTAAACATTCATTAAATATATAGAGAATCTCCTGCCTCGTTTTTTTTTTACTTTATCAATGAGTCTTTTTTGATATCAAAAAAGAAGAGTAGGAGATTTTATTTATCACCCAATCCCTTCTTACATGCACAAATAGATAAATATAATTCTTTGCTGTAGATTTCACTTTTACTGAACATTACGGCGTAGTGATACATCATTGTTTGACATCAATTCAACCATTGCAAAGTCCTTTATATCGACCCAGTGTTTCCATCAGGGTCAATTGAATAACAATAGTTCATTTTTAATATAAAAAAAAGAAGTAACTTTTAATAAAGTAACTTTAATGAAAATAAAAAAAAGTAGTTCCTTTTCAACTGACCTATCAAATTCATGTAAAGCGATATCTCCTAATGAGATATCGCAGTAGATTATGAAATATATCACACAAACGATATCTACTGTAGAATGTATTATTGGGTGATAAATTATAATATCAAAATGGTTTCATATATAACCTATACAATTTAAACATCCATTAAATATATTATAATATCAAAATAGTTTAATATATAAACAATACAATTTAAACATCCATTAAATATATTATAATATCAAAATGGTTCCATATATAACCAATACAATTTAAACATCCATTAAATATATTATAATATCAAAATGGTTCCATATATAAACAATACAATTTGAGCATGCATTAAATAATATATTATAATATCAAAATGGTTTCATATATAAACAATACAATTTAAACATCCATTAAATATATTATAATATCAAAATGGTTTCATATAGAACCAATACAATTTGAACATTTATTAAATGTCCCATTGTGCAAAAGATGGGTTATCAAATCCGCCATGAAATTGTTGATATCAAACAACAATAGGTATATTATCAAATTGACCGACGTATTGTGTTGACGAGACATTCACTCCTTTTGCATTTAATTTATGGATTAGAAACAAATACACCCTCACTTTAAATCATCAAACAATTTAATATATCAATAAAAGCTACGCCGCCTTTATGTTTGGCAATATTATCATTATATAGGCTACATGCTGATGATTTTATTACGGCCTTTGTGAGGTGTGGATAAAACTGTGATATACATAAAGTCCTGGCCCCAAGTTCACAAAGCATTCTCAGACTTAAGTTAAGAATTTACTCAAAATTATTCGCCTTATTTTAGCTAAAATATAGCCCTTTATAAAATTTTTGTTGTTTTAACATATCAAATACATCAATAAGAAACCATGTGCAAAGTTTTGTGTTTCTGGATCAAAGATATTTCTTATAAACAGTGATTGAAAGTTGAGTAAATTCTTAACTTAAATCTGAGAATGCTTTGTGAACTCGGGGCCTGTTTTATTTAAAGATGCATTATGTAAGATTTCGGTAAAATGTGGTAATTCTTGCTATAATAGATCAATAATAGGTATTAAAAAATTATTGAAAATTTCATCGCATTAATTTATTCTGGGCGAAGTAATGATTGTTTGAAGATGTAGCGTATAGATCGCTTATTATAGTAGCAACGGAACTTGACAACCGAGACTAAGTCTAGATTGTCCATTTTATCGTTAAATTTTTAAATGCTGCAGGTGTTCTAATCCATTTAAATCTCGGCCATCCAATGCTCTAGAGAGCTGATTATATAGGCTTGACATGTGAATAAATGTCTAAATATAATTTATATAATATTTGAGGCCAAAAGAAGGATATACAACAATAGGCAGATTTATCTTTTACATAATGCATCTTTAACGACTGTTTACGTATGAGAGAGAGAGAAATAGGGTTTAACGTCCATTCGACACAAACTAGGTCATTTCGGGACTAACATATGATTTAATTTTATTTCAATAATTCGCTTGCGCGTAGGGGTCTTTGGCAGTGGGAGGAAACCGGAGGGCCCGGAGAAAACCCACGAGGTTGGACAGGCGACCCTACTCCTTGTCACGTACAATCGGGATTCGAAACCACACCAGTTGACTCAATGACAGGCCTTATGATACAGTGCGCACGTGCTAATCATTCGGCCACCCAACCTACATAATGCATCTTTAAAGATTGTTTACGTATGAAATATCAAACAAATTATACAGTATGAAATAAAATACAATTAACCGGAAGTAAACTTTAATGGGCTATAGTAATAATGAGGAAGTAAACTTTTATTGGCTTTCTAACCACCAGGGAATAATAAGCTAATAAGGACACGATTTAATATTGATTTTTAACCGAGATTCTTTAAAAAAAAAATCAAACTTCTGTTAATATTATTCTATAAATTACGCCTATAAGCATAATCTATATTAATTGAATAGATTCGTTGAATAATGTAATAAAATGAAAATCAAAGAGAGAGAGAGAGAGAGAGAGAGAGAGAGAGATGGGTTTAACGTCCACTCGACACAAACTAGGTCATTTTGGGACTAACATATGGTTCAATTTTAGCAGTGGGAGGAAACCGGAGGGCCCGGAGAAAACCCACGAGGTTGGACAGGCGACCCTACTCCTTGTCACGTACAACCGGGGAATCGAAACCATGAAAATCAAAGCCTCTGTAAGTTAGATAATCATATCCAGACTAAAATTGGATAATCCCGGAGGGAATGGCAAGGGACAGGTATAGTCGTTCGGATGGGACTAAAAACCGAGGCTTGCACGTAAAAGAACCCCTGAAAATTGGAATTCGAAATAAGAGTAGGCTGCAGTGGCGCTGCCCGGGCCAAATTTTCATCATAACACACGGTATGCCCATCTTCATTAACCCAGTCAGAGTAGAACCCTATTTCGTTTCATTTTAGTATACTATAATGGCAATTGGTTATTTAAAATCCATATGGCTCGTTTGTGTCCAGCGTTGGAGAATCGGTCTTTCGGTGTAGGATAAAGTCCTCGACTTCGGTTATGCAGGCCTCGGGTTTTCCTTTTTCTCGAATTATTTCTTCGAGGACTTTATCTTGCTTATAAATCGTCTATGTTTACATGTACATAAAATGAGAATATCACAGAATTCCATGTAAGAAAAACCTTATATCATGTTTTCTTCTGGTCAAAAACCCTACCTTGGAAGAATACCCCGTTACAGGTTTAAAGAAAAAACTTTCAGAAAAATACCCCCAAATTCCCAT